CGTCAGACCGTCCCGAGACCGGCGTTGGCGGCGGCACCGCGCGGGGCGGGGCAGGGAGAACAGGGCCCGCGGACCCTCGCAGGCGGGAGCAGCCGGTGCTGGCGTGGGCGGCAAGTGAGCGGGCGATGAGCGAGCAGGCGGGTGAGGGGACCCCGGCCAAGCCCCCGCCCGGTGAGTGTTCGGTTCGCGGCCTTCGCCTGCCCTGGAGGCTGCCCCGAGGGCACGGGGCGCCCCCTTCTCAGGGCTACTCACTTTTGGGACCAGACGTGGCCGGGGGAGTGGAGAGGTGAGCCTTGCTGTCACCCACAGCCAGCTTGGGAGGACGACTGGCAGCCCCCCCAACCCCCCCACCCCCCATTTCCTCTCGCTGTGTCTCAGGACTCCCGCCTTCATTCCCGATTGCTGGATTGCTGGATTGCTGGGTAATACCGTCACACCCCCACCCACTCCCTGCCAGGGGCCTCCCGTGCCTGCACCCTTGACAATGGCAAGAGGGGGCCTGTGTCTGGCCTGGTTCCCGGGCCTCTCTGACCCGCGGCTGACCCCAGCCTACCCTGTGGCCCACGCAGGCCCGCCTGCCTTCGGGGTCGCTTGGTGGCCCTCGCTCTGCCTGTTTTCTGGGAGAGACAGCCTGCGTCTTCTGCGGCACTGGCAAGGCCAGGCTGTGCTGTGCCTGAGGAACGGCCTGCCCGAGGCAGGCGAGACCTGAGCTGCTCTGCTCGCTTTGTCCCTGCCAGGACCCGTCCATGCTGCTGGCCATCACTGTCATCGGGGTCACAGTGCTGCTGTTCGCCCTGAAGAGCATGAACGCCAGGAGGAAAGACCTCATCACCTTGCAGGACCCTGATTCCAAGTACCCGCTGCCCTTGATTGAGAAAGAGGTAGTGGGACACCCCACCTCCTCCCCCGTGCTTGGCAGAAGGGAGGGCAAGGGTGGTGGGGCATGCTGGCTGGGGAGGAGGGTGGGCTGGCACCCACCTCGTGGCCAAATGGGAGGCTTTCCCAGGTGTGGGAGCGCCCAGTCGGGCTCCTAGATGCTGACCGCCTGCCTGCCTCTGTTTTGTCTTACCAGCAAATCAGCCACAACACCCGGAGGTTCCGCTTTGGATTGCCCTCACTGGACCACGTCTTAGGGCTTCCTGTAGGTGAGCTGGGTTTGCTGTCACCTCTAGGGCTAGACTTCTGTGGGCCAGGCACTGTGCTCCGATCAGAAGCACAGGTTTCCCATCTCCCAAGGCACGGAGGGAGATGTACTCTTCCTGAGCCGTGTGAGCCCGGGAAGATGGGGAGACGGATTTGGGGACGAGGTGCTTCCTTTTCTCATTGTTCCACTTGGATGACACAAAAGTAGTACCTCAAGGGCATGGAAGAGAAGTGAGCCTAGAGTCAGAAGGTCTAAGATCTCATCTGAGGCTCTTTGCTGGGCAGCCCCACCCAAGTCCTCAACCTCTCTGATTTTCATTCTATGAAATTCCCATTTCCCTTACCTCTTCCCAGGCCTGCCTGCTTACCCCAGCTGAGCTATTAAGTGAATAAAGTGACTGATGAAGGTGAAAATTCAGGAACTACACACCATTGTGCAGGGAGGTGGGCTAGAGGGGAACTGATTTTCCCCTATAGTCAGGAGAAAAGCCCAGAATGTGTAAAGGGGTGAGAGGGTGTCAGGTGCCCCGTGTGGGTTCTCTGCGGAGACCTCAGACCCACAAAAGAAGGGAGTCGTTGTGGACTCCAGCCGCAGCAGCCCTGGTGTTCTGAGTGACCCCCTTTGTATAACAGCTACCTATAACACCTCTAGGTAGCTGACTCAGTCTTCATGACGTGGAAGACCTGAGGGCCAGGGATACTGCCCACGCTCCTTCCCTGCTGGTGGAGAAGCCAGCCATGGCCTGTCTGTCTTATCCACAAAACCTTGACCTCCACTCTGCTGGTGATGAAGTTACACACAGGACACTCGGGGGGGCCCGAGCCTTTTTGAGGCTCCCTCGCTCCTTCTCTGCCCTTGAGCACACGGTGTCCGGTGTCACCTTCCAGTTCCTACCTGGTCTGCCACCAGTCCTGTTGGCAGGAAGCATACCAGACTGAAAAACCTTGAGAAAAAGAACTTCTTAGAAACTGCTTTGACCCACGCTCTTCTCAGCCCTGGAGGCCGTGCACAGTTAGTGGAGTAGGATGAGATCATTTAGTGGCTGATGGGAGCATCTGATGGAGGCTCTCGGAGCTGATGCTAATTGCTTGGTTAGAGATGAGCCAGAAGGACCAGTGGATCCACCCCATCTTGTCTGGGGACACTCCATGGCAACTCCTGCCCTCATCTCTAATTGTCTCAGTCACTGAAGTCTCCATTTTACATCCGGCAGATACCTGGGCAACTCACCCGGTCATGTGACACGGGGCTACAGTCAACATCCACAGGTGTTGGGCCTTATGAAGTCTACTGAATTCTACCCCGGAGGGGCAGAATTACATGGTTCAGACTTCACTGTTGCCCCTCAGCAAAGTCGCAGACCAGGAGGACACAGTGCTACTGCTTTATCTGAACCATGGGTGTCGGGACATGGGGCCCCACAGCCGCTAAAGCCCAGTTGTGCGCTGTGCCAGGCACCAGGGTACAGACAGCAGCTGTGACTTATTTAGAAAGCTCAGTTTAGGAAAAAATGAGTTTCTAAAGCCAACATATTTTTCTTCAAAAGGGAAACACTCCTGTTTGTCATTTTTAATAGGTACCTTCCAACTTTAACTAGCTCTTCCTGCCCTGCAAATTACTTGACAATATGACTGCAGTTATGCCGGCATATAATTTTTCCTTTCTCTCTGTCTCTCTCTCTCTCCCGCTCTCTCTGTCTTTCATAATAGTAGTAGTAGTAGTGCGGGGGATCAAACCTGGGTCCTTCTGTCACGGAGCCACACTCCCGGTCTATCATCTCTGTCTTATACATGAACAGACTAAAACCCAGAGAGGGGAAGTGGGCTGCTCCGGGTAGCCCATAGAGCCTCAAGAGCAGGCCTAGGACCCAAGCACCCCGCCTCAGGACTTCTTCCCTGATTACAGCCTTGGTCCATCTTGCCAGAATTTGCCCCTTCACTGAAGCTCAGTACTTTATGGAACTGCTGGCTCGTGCCTAGCTGCTGGTCATGTTCAGACTTGACATTTGATGCCCTTTCCGTAGGGAACTATGTCCACCTCTTGGCCAGAATTAATGGTGACTTGGTGATCAGGGCCTACACACCCGTCTCCAGTGATGACGACCGAGGCTTTGTGGACTTAATTATAAAGGTAAAGATGCCCGTCGTGTCCAGCTGCCATGCGCTCCTCAGCTTGTTGACGGTGGTGGGGCGGAGGGCCGGGTTTTGCTCTGAGCGGACTCGTGCCCCAGACGGGGCTTTGCAGTGAGGCCATTCAACACCTGAGGTACGGTTACCCTCGGGACGCCTCGGGGGACCGCTTGCAGCAGCCATGGAGGCAGAGTGCTTTCCCTGAGGGGCACACAGTGGCCAGTGCATTTGGTAGTTGTGTGCACCCGTGGCCGTAAGTCAGGGCATGTGAAAACTCCCCGGCCTTGCTTTTCAGATCTACTTCAGAAATGTGCACCCTAAATATCCCGAAGGGGGGAAGATGACTCAGTACTTGGAGAACATGAAAATTGGAGACACCATCCTTTTTCGAGGGCCAACCGGGCACCTATTCTACCAAGGGCCAGGTACTGGTGGGCTCACCCTGGGTCTGCAGCGGGAGGACGAGGTTCCTGCAGTGACTGTATTGCCCTAGAACACTGCTCAGACCCCACCTGGGCTTGTGCTACAAGTCCTCGTGCACTCATTTACCCAGATTAATGTATATCTGCGTCCGTTAGTCGTGTGCACGCCCGCTCCAGATGATCCTAAGCTTCGTTTGGTGTGACCTCAGCACTGTATCTGCGGTACGGTGTTTGCTAATCCTGAAAAGCTGGGGATGGCTATAGCCCACAGCCATGAGCTCAGTCACATTTTCGTGCTTTACTCCCTCCTTCCCTGCTGTGGGCGAGAGTGTTCTGTGAGGCCCTCTGTGAGCTTGCCTCTGTCCTCAGAAGAGCAGGCCTGGCGATTATCCGAGAAGGCGCAGGCTCCAGTCCCGCACTGGGGTGGGTGGAGGAAGCTCCTGTGGCCTCTTCCCTGCCTTGAAACCGCACAGCCATCTCAGGCAGACCTGCCTCCAAGAAGTCCCAAGGAACGTCAGTAATCTTTTGCAGGCTCCCTGGTAAGAAGAGCTGCAGAAGTTAGAAACATCCTCTGTGCTTCTAGGGAGAATTGCAATCAAACCGCACAAAACGAGCCAGTCTGAAAAAAAACTAGTCCATCACCTGGGAATGATTGCTGGAGGCACAGGTGAGAGGTTCCTGAGGGCTTCGTCCAGACCGTGACCTGCAAGACCGGTCCGACTTTGCAGTGGCTTGGCCCTAGATGGGGTGGCATGAGTTACTCCTCCCTTAGCTGCGCAGCCGAAGTACTGCACAGTACCTGACAGTTCCTTGCGCCCCTTAGCCAAGATGGTGCTGCCCAGGAGTCGGGCTGGGTGGGCCCAGCTGTGGTCTCCCTCATGTGCCTGGATCCAGCCCACGCCAGACTCTCCCTGTCCCCAGAGAATGACCCCCGCCCGGAGAGAATAACTTGGGCAGATATACACAGAGTGCCAGGCACCATCACAGGCACTTCAAAACCCATGGCATTTATTCACCATTAATATTTTTTGCAAATTAGGACACTGAAGATCTAATTCTCTTCCCATCACGGGGAAATGAAATGGGGCTTTTGACTTACTGTTGTGTTAGAAAGCAGTCCCCAAAAGGAGGACTGTTCCCCACTCTGAGTTTGGAGGACAGAAGTGGAGAAGGTACCGTGAGGGCCAGGGAAGGCTGTTCAGCTGCCGCAGGCCGGAGGGGGGAGAAGGCCGGCCTGCCCGCTCACTATGTTCCAGGCCTTACGCCCATGCTGCAGCTCATTCGCCACATCACCAAGAACCCCCGCGACAAGACCCGAATGTCCCTCCTGTTTGCCAACCAGGTCAGTTCTGCCGCGTCAGCTCCGAGCGTGCAGTGGTGGGACGAAAAGTTTGCTGAGCTGGGCTCTGCATTCATCCTGCCCCCGCTGACTGAGCACGCGCTGTCTGGGTGTGGGATCCTGCGTGTGGGATCGCCGGCCAGAGGCTGAGCCCAGGCCTGTGTCCCTGCAGGTTTGGTTTAACTCCTCTCTCCCCAGTCAACCCTGAGCTCTAAGCTTTCTTTATTTCCTTCCCAATCTCTCTCTTTTTTGAGTATAAAAATCAAATCAGAGATGCCCTCATGGAAATCTTAGGAAGTACAAAAGAATATAAGTATTCTTCATTATATGTATATAATTTGTTAGCAGCACCACACAGGATTTTCTTATTAGTACACTTCATGTTTATCACAGGCTATGTCAAGTTGTACTAAATGTCCTGCATTCGAGTTTTCAGTTTTTAGTTATAAATATCATAAATGATACAATGATGAATAATTATGCCAGGGCGGGCCTGCCTGTGTTTAGATTATTTTTTTAAACAGAACCCCAGAAGTAGAATCCTGGGGCAGGTGTCCTGCAGATCTGCCCGTGGCAGTGGCACTGGCTGCCCTTTCCCAGGAGAGGCTCCAGACCGGCTTCCGGTCCCAGCCTCCCAGGCCCCCCCCCCCTGACTCTCTAGCGCCCTCTTCCTAGCAGAAGACCCCGGCCTGTGCTGAGCTTCTCCCAGCTGGGTGTGCCACACCTGCGGCCTCGCGTGGGTGCAGGAGGCGGGGCAGGGAGGTCCACGTGGAGCCCCCTGGCCTGCGTGCCCAGTCTCTCAGGTGGGCAGTCAGCTGACTCTGTGAGAAGCTTCACCCTCCCCGCTGCTCACTGCAGCAGACAGAAATAGAGGCTTGGCCTGTGGGAGCTTCGTGGAGCCTCTTTGCCCCACGCGTCTGCGGTGGGCACTCAGGCTGGGGTGGCACGGCGTGGACAGAGCTGTGCTGACCGTGTGCTCGGTGTGGGGATACACACGCTGTCTGTGGACGGGGCTTTTCTAATGTTGCTTTTCTAGACAGAGGAGGACATCTTGATGAGAAAGGAGCTTGACGCAATGGCCAGTGCTCATCTAGAACAGTTCAGTGTGTGGTACACCCTGGACAGGCCTCCCGCCGGTATGCGCCCTGTGCCCTCACTCGGCTCCAACCCCCTGCCTGTCCTCGCGCACTGCTCTCTGTTTATTTTGCCTTTTTTTTTTTTAAGGGTTTAGGCCTGGGGTTCTGGGTCCATATGGAAAGTGCAAGGATTTGAGGGAGTGGTTTGGATGACCTGCTTGTAAGGAGAGTGATCAAGGGCTGCTGTCTGATAACTCAGCAACACTCCACAAACTGCACTTACCCTTTCTGGACAGCAGTCCTCCCATGCTGAGCCCCAAGCTCCAGAATGCGTACCTAGCGCGCCCTTGTACCTGTCTCGTCATACACCACATTGACCAGCAGAGGGCGCAACTCCACAAACACCACACCAGTTCAGCACCCTGTCTGACACTACACCCTGGTACACCTCACCCTGGAGTTCTTCACCCTCCTCGATGCTCTGAGCCAGCAAACACCAGCCCGGGCCCCTGAGTCTCAGCCCTGAGCCTGAAATCTGGGGTGAAAACTTCCAGAGGACTGAGGCCTCCCCACCCTCTTCTCAGGGTTTTGCAGGGAACAACAGGACAGGCTTCGAAACCTATGTAGGGTGCCTGGCCTCTCTGCTCCAGAACCTCACAGTTATTTCCTGTTCTGCTTCCTTTCAGGCTGGACCTACAGCTCTGGCTTTGTTACTGCTGACATGATCAGGGAGCACCTCCCTCCCCCTGGGAAGGCCACACTCATCCTGGTGTGTGGCCCCCCGCCCCTGATCCACACAGCTGCTCACCCCAGCCTGAAGAAGCTGGGTTATACAAAGGACATGATTTTCACCTACTAACACCTCCTGTGTTCTTCACAAGTTTCCCGGGTCCCTGTCCTCTGTCTCAAGTGAGTTTGGCTTCACCAGGTTAAGGTGGGACGTTTACGAAAGTGCCTCTTTGGGCGTGCCCACCGGGGCACCTCTCTCGGGTGTGGACCTAAGAAGAAGGCTTTGAGGCATCAAGAAGATGGCTTCTGAGGCCCCCTGGCTTGAAGGGTGGAAAGAGCTCCATTATTGTACCGTTCTCTATAGTTTGGTGAAATAAACTTAAGTTCTCAGTAGACAGCTCAGGACGTGTGGCTCTGTGCGGCCCTGCTGCAGGTCAGGAGCCCATGCTGCTGTGCTTACAGTCAGATTCTGTGTAATGGCGGCCGTTCAGAATGGCCACACAACCGCCACGGGCCCCTCCTGAGGCCCTCTCCAGAGGGCTCTGCTTTCAAGGCCAGACCTGCAAGAGTCCTCAGGCACCCTCCATGCGTAGCCTTCCTTCCTTCTTTTGTGGGACCCCTCTACACAGGAAGGCTTAGGTGGCTCTAGGGACTCCTTCCAGACTCCCCTTGAACTGTGCACAGCGAGGGTAGCACAGCGTGCTTTTCTTTCCCAGCATCCTCCTGGTTCCATCCTGGCATTAGGCTAGGTTAGCAGTGGTTACATTCAGAAACTTCTCAATCTGACGTACAGCTCCCAGAAGCTCTGTCTTAAATCCTATCACTCAACTCAAGTGATACAAGGGACCACTGTCACCATTTTCAGGGCCGGGACAAAACGTTGCTATTCTCTTACCTTCGTGGATATGGGCATTACTGCAGGATTTCATGTAATTCTCCGAACAGACCAGAGATCCTGTTTAGGATTCTGTCCTTGGCGTTATAGATGAGGAGACAAACTCAGAGACTAAGTGTTCTGAAGTCATTCAGCCACTGGGTGGCAGAGCTGGTTTTAAATTCCAAGTTACTCATTTCCCCTTTCCACAAGAACTGGCGTGACAGCAGCAGTGTTGGAACTTGGTGCCACTTCCTCGTTACTCTGTGTGTGTGTGTGTGTGTGTGTGTGTGTGTGTGTGTGTGTCCCTGCTGAGGGTCAGGAGTCCATGTCTGCTGTGCTTAATAGTTGGCATCTATGTAGAGGCAGGGGGAAAGGGTAGGATGAACCTGCGTGTCTGTCTGTGTGGGTGTGAGGAACAGCCGGGGGACAAGAGCGGAGAAGAGAGGCATGAGCTCTGCAGCACAGCTAGGCCTTGCTGTCTTGCCCGCAAGTGGCCGACGAGGGTCTCACAGGTCTGCGGTGTGGGGCAGGGAGGGATGGTGTGGCCAGCTTGCACGTACCCACCTGTTCATCACATCCTCAAGGAAATCCCTGCTCTGCTGGGCACTGCACAATAAGCAAGATCCTGCCCTCAGATACTTTACAAACACGCAGATCTGATCATGTGTTTCACCTACTTTCCACCTTTAACTGCTTTTGTTCTGGTCTCCACCCCAGCCACTTCCTGCCCCTGGGATATATTCAAGGTGCCGGGTTTGTAAGGTCTTTCTTGACTGGATGCCTGACCATGTCAGAGTTTTCCTTCCCTGAGCCTCCCACTGTGACTTTAGCCTGTACCCTAGTAGTTCTCAAGAGAGACGAATTTGCCTTTTAGGGAGTATTTGACAAAGGCTGGGGTCATTCAGTTGTCACAACTAGAGGAGGGGTGCTCCTCGCATCTGGAGCGTAGACATCAATGACGCTGGTCAGCAAGACTTTTTTTTTTTGTCTTTGTGAGAAAGGGTCTCACTCTGCAGTTCAGGCTGGCCTTGAGCTCACCTTGTAGCCCAGGCTGGTCTCGAACTCCCAAAGATCCTCCTGCCTCAGCCTCCCAAGTGCTGGGATTACAGGCGTGTGCCACCATGCCTGGCTAAACAAAACCTGGATCAAGAAGCAGCTGGAGAGCCAGGAGTTGGGGTTATTTCTGTCTGTACAGACCACAGCCTATAGCAGCCGCTCAGTGGGTTTGTGCTACTGGAGAATATATGGTAGGCAAACGTATCAATTCAAGGCTTGCTTACAGCATTGCCTCCGGGGAAAACTGCACAGTGGGACAGAGTGGAACTCCAGTCAGAAAAGGAGTGAAGCCTCCCTGAGAGACATGGAAGAGGTGGTGCCTGCGCTGGGCCATAATAGGCAGGATTTGGCCTCACGAAGGAGACTGGGAGAAAAATGGTGGCACAGGGACGGAGGGGCCGGAGCCAAGGCCTGGAGGGAGCAAAGGCCAAACGTTGGGCTCAAAAAAGGCTGAGGACAGTGAAGGGCCCGGATGACCATCTGCGGAAATTCTGTAACTGAGTTCTGAGCAGAATGGTGCCAGGCACGACATGATTAAAACCTGCTTTGGGAAGCGCGCCGTGGGAGCAGGGAGGAGAACGGAGGGGACCAGCTGGAAGGGAGCGGGACCAAAGAAGAGACCAGCTTCGGTAATCAGGTGAGACCAGGCTGGAACTAGAGCAGCCATGCAGTGGGAGGAAAGGGGCACGCTGGGGACTCGGCGGCGCCTCTTTCCCAGGTGGGAGACAGCAGAAAGGGAGGCTTGATAGGACAATGGCAAGTTGCCGCGGCAACACGTTGTTTAGTGTCCAAGGGCCTTCCACCAGGAGGCGCTGTGTGATCAGACTGAGGCGAAGCATGCGCGTGTGTTGGGGATTCTGCTGAGACTGCAGGACCCAGCCGGTCGCTGCTGCACGTAAGGGTAGGAGGAGGACACTTTCACTGCTCTCACCCTATATCCTCTCACCTCAAATACACGTTCCTGTGAAGACGTCTCTGAGAGACTCCCGATTATCTCACCCACCACAATCGCTACGGAACATCAGAACACAGTTCCAGAACATGTTTTTTTTTTTTCCAGCAGCGGTTTTGTGCACTAACAGCTCTTCCCCTTTGGTGTAAGAGCCTCCTGGCTGTCATCAGGGACAGCATGAGCCTCGGAGCTTGTGTGCTGGTCTCTCATTGCTCTCCCCGCAGAAGTGCTCTGCAGTCCTCGTATAAAAGTACAAAAGGGAGAAAGCCGCGGTGCAGAGCACAGCACGGCTACAAACACCGCGGGACCCGGGGCCGCCTCCCGGACGCCCGCGCCACTCTCTGCTTTGCTCCAGACGGCACCCGCGGCCGAGGAGGTGCCCCGCCGGCCCCATCTGCAGTCGGGCTCTGCGGTGGCTGTGTGCCCGGTCCCCTCTGAGGCAAGGGCAGGCCCCACGTGCCTCTCTGGGCTCTCGGCCACAGAGGGTGTCATCTCCAGTCGTCAGAGTCGGGGGCAGTCGGGAGAGAGTCGCTCAGCAGCTGGTCCTGGCTCAGCAGGGTCTGAAAGGACACAGCCAAAGGGGCAGTTTAACAGCGTCTGGGGCCAGGCTGCCCCGCCAGCCACAGGGGAAGCAGGGGGCACCGGGCATGGTCTGAGTCTGACCTTGGTGCCCTGCATGCAGGTTCCTGGTGTCTCAGAGACCCTAAGCCCTGGGTCAGAATAAATAGCACTGGTCATCTTAGAGGCAATCTTGCTTTTTGAAAAAGGCACCAAACGCCTTAGTTCATAGGGAGGGCAAGGTTGGGCAGAGACCTTTCAGTGTGTAGGCCAACAAAAGGAACGCTGCATTAAAGTGATCCCGCGAAGATGCATGGGAGCTCTGACCCTCAGACACAGTCTTCTAAATGTGCCCTGAGAGATCATGAAGCAAAGGGCGGTGACGGGGCCTCAGTGCCAGGAGACACCACAGCTGCTAGATTCAGGATGGAAGTAAAGGGCCCTGGGACGTACAAATCTCAAAGACGAGCCCGCTCTGTGGCTGGCCTTTCACTGCCAGCTCTAATCAATCCATGAGCCTCGCAGGGGAGATTTTATTCATCATGCTCCAAAGATAACAAAGCCAAGGTTCAGAGAGGGAATGACACACCCAAAGTGCCTAAGCCAGTAAAAGGCACAGCCGAAAGCTGAACCAGGTCTGCCACTCTGCAAAGCGGCTCCTCTTCTCCTGAGAGCAAGCTATCTCCTGTGGTCTGGTTTGCCTTTTGGGACATGGCAGGATACAGCCAGATTGCCTGTGATGGCTGTGATGTCAGAGGCGTGGCATGGGAAATGCAGGAGTCTTGGGGACAGGGAAGGCCAGGACAGAGACAAAGATGGGGCTTTGATCTATCTAGAGTCTCCTGGTTTCCTCACCAGCTCAGACTGGGAAAAGGACCCGAGATCTAGGATGCTCTGGCAGGTTTTGATTTAAGGCCTGCAACCTAGCAAGAGGCCAAGGAAGGCCCTTGGGCTGCTTTCTGCCTCCAGGCTGGACTCAGGCTCTGAGGCCGGCACCCAGCACCATCCTTTACTTTCCCCTGACCTTGGCCACCACCACACCAGGCTTTCTGGGCCTCCCTGGCACCAGTCCTACTGTGAGGAGAGCGTCAGAGTCCTACCGTAAGACGGTGAATATCTTGGGAGAGGAGCCCTATCTGGGTCACAGTGCCTTCCGAAGGTGCCATCTGAAAAATGGGCAGCAGCTTTGTCAGCACATATGAGCACAGCTTGTAATTTGCAGACAGCATGCAAACCATGTCCTGCTCAGGCCTGGCTTCTCCAGCGCATGCTTCCCTGGAGGGACAGTTAGTGAACGTGCCAGGCCTGAGGAGTGACAGGTGTCGGGGCACATGTTGCTTCTGTCCCTGAGGAAAGGCGTCCAGTGTCCCACACTGCATGCACATGGTCTCCTGAGGTCTCACTTGGCACTGACATTCAGGATACAAGAAGCAGGACAGAGGAAGAGCCAGTCAGAAGCTGTTTTTCGATACGTTTAGTGTTCCAGCTACCTCCCAGGAGCAAATGGCAGCAGGGATGAATGCTTGCAGGATGCTGGGCAGAATCACAGCTCCCAGGCACCAGCCCCAGGCAGTGATGCTCCAGTACCGCAGGCATCCTGGGGAAGATGCTGATAGAGCTGGGGCCTCCTCACTACTCAAGGCCCCCTTCCCTGCCCTCCTCCACAGGTAACCCTGCTTCTTCTTTCTTCTGCATTTAGATGCTGTGGATTTGGAAGGTGTCCAGTGTAACTCTGTTTTACAGGTGGAAAAACAGAGGCCCATAGAAAGGAACGGGACTTGCCTGAGGATGTCCTGGAAGTTAGTGGCAAAACAATTCCATGCAGGGCTGGAAAACAGGCGCATGCAGTCTCTCATCGGGACACGATAAGAAATGACAAATAAAGCCCGGCCTGACCGGCTGTACACTGCCACAGTCAGGTGGCAGCCTTGGGGATCACCTGCGTTCTGTGGCCCTGGGTCCCAGGACCACACAGCGCTGCTGGCTGGGGAGCTTGTGCCCACTGCTCTCAGCAGCTAGACTTCAGGGAAAGTGGAGGCCAGAGGGAACAGGCCATGCCTCAGGCTGCTGATGTTCAACAACTCTCAGCATCACCTCCATCTGGGACAGAATCAGCCTCTGCGAGGTCTTGGCCTTGCCCTGCTGTCAGATGGTTGGGGCACTGCTGTTATTCTTCTGCAGATGAGGCCCATGGGACCCTAGGGAGCCAAAAGCGGCCCCGGGGCGACCTGAAATGACTGGCACGGGCGTCTCTCTCAGTGTCCAGCCAGACAGGGTCCATCTGGAGGGCTCATTATCAGCCACTCAGCCTCTGAATCAAGAGGCAAGATCTTTATTTTTTTATTTTTTTATTTTTTTTTGGTTTTTCTCCGGTACCAGGAACCGAACTCACGACCTTGCGCTTGCCAGGCAGGCACTTTGTCGCTGAGCTAAATCCCCAGCCCCAAGAGGCAAGATCTTTAAAAAAAATTTTTTTAAGAAGGCAGATCTGTTCCAGCCCTGCCCGCACAGAAGGCCCAGCCCCACAGCAGTTACCAGAAGCTGGCAAAACATGCAAAGGAACAGTCTTGCCAGCACGGCTGCCCCGTGCCCCACCCATGTGAGGGGCTCCTGCTGCTGACACGGAAACCAGCTTCGGGGTCTGCGTGACTGAGGTGGACTACAGTCAGGACGTGCGTGTGGCCCAGGTTCCCTTCTGCTTCACAGTGAGAGGCAAGGCCTGAGGTAGCAAGGCCAAAGGCCTCCTATTAAGGACGCCAGGAAAGGCGCTGGTCCCTCCTTGCCCATCCCCCTTGCTGAATCCCGAGTGTGTCCGGCCGAGGACTGGGCACACTGCCGCAGGCACCTACACTGCAGTCAGTGGGACGCCGCCTCCGGCTGTGCCCGGCTCCCTTCCTCCAGCAAGATTAAAGATGGGTTACACTGTTTGCTTTCTACATAAATATTATTTTATTACCAGAAAGAAATGACCACCTCTGTAGTAAGGCACACCCCAACGATACTGTCACCGTGGCAGAAATCCCTGCTGCGTCCCCTCAGCCAAGACACTGTGGCCCATAGGCCTAAGGCACTGGAACCTTTTCCTCAGCTGGAGCTCCGGGTGGAGCCTAAGAGCTGAGCCTCTTGGGCTCGTCCAGAGTCTCTGGACCTGTGTCCAAGTCCATGTGCTGGAGATGGACAGTAAGAATTACTGAACAATGGAAGAGCCTCTTTAAGTGTCTTTCCTCCTGGGTCCACCTCTGACAACAGTGCCCGGGGCCAGGGCCCTTTGCAGAGGCCTAACTCCAGGTCCCGGCCGCCAGCAGGGTGTGAAGAGAGGCTGGGCCCAGGAGCACAGAGTCGCTGCACTGCTCTGTGAGCCATGCACAGGCACAGGGGGTGAGGTGCGGTTACATGGTGACACACGTGGTGCTGCTGTGAGCGCTCAGGCATACGAGAAGCCAGGTGACAAGGGCATCAGCTAATCTGTCCCACCTGGTCCAGCCCATCCAGTTCAGGGGTATCAAGAGGACTGAGGCCCCGGTAACCACTGTAGACCCTTTGACTGTCACCGACGGCATCATTTGGTTCCATTGGGCAAATGTAGTCTGTCGACTCATCAAATTTCTTTTTTCTCATGTTTCCAAAATGTGAAAATCCTAGTTTCCTAGGCTAAAACACAGAAAATACAGAATTACGGGAAGATGATTAGCAAGCCAGAGGACACATATGACTGACAGAATATTTAAGAGCAGACCAGGAAGAAAGGAATAAGACAAGCTACCAGAAAACTGAACCAAACAGAGCTCATGGAGCAGTTTCTATGCCAAGGAAGGGTCAACTGACGAGTGATCTTGAACAAGAAGACCTGCTCCTAAGGCTGCCTGAAACTCTGTCCTGCTGCTCCGTCAGCAACTTTCCTAGTTTCCCAGATGGCCAGGGATCCTAACGCACGCCACAGGCTACGGAATGCACCTGAGGCCGAGCACTGAGGATATGCCTCATCCCAGCTGCGGATTCCACATGGTGGGGCACCACCCAGCACTCCAGAACCACACTGGGCAGCCCTGGGCTGGTCTTCCTCTTGGCCCGGCACTGTTTCTCCTGGACGCCCCCAAATGCACTTGCTGTCCTGCTCCCCCAGGGAAGGAGGTCTATGTGTGAGTCCCTGGGGACAGGGTCAGCCTGGAATCCTGCGGTCTGGGATGGCCATCGTCTGAGGATAGTGCTGCTCAGGCAGGTCTTTATGGGATTCAGGGACCCCCAGGGAGTGGTGCTGGTGCGTGGATGACCTCAGGACCTCGGGAGAGCTGCACGCTGGCCACCTCACAGAACAAGGGAAGGAGGCACACCCGCCAAGCGGTATACACCCTGTGCTAGCCGGGCAGCTCTGACTAAGCCCCACGGTGCTGCGGCATGTGGATGGACCTAATCAAAGGGAACCCAGACCCAGACTTATCTATTTTGCCAGATGAGTAATCCCAGCACTGGGGTGCAGGACAAGCTCCCAGCTGTCCGAGCATAGATACTTCCTGCACATGGTTTCCGGGTCCACAAACCTGCACTCCCTTCCTTGACACGAGATAAATTAGGAAACAGCCTAACAAAGACGAATAACCCTAGGACCAAACTCCCCTGCGGAAGCTGATTGTGCCTCCTCCCCCACACTGCATACTCTAGTGCGGCTCTGGGCACTGAAGCAGCAACTGTGTAACGTAAGGGCTGGGAGGCAGCACCTCTGCACCACACAGAACGGGTCTGAAGACTCACCCGGACTTTGGCTGTGGTGGTCAGTGGGGTGTAAGCTGGTGAGGCCATTTTATCTCGCTTTTCTTGTTCGGCCTCAGGACCAATCAGGGCACTGAATTTGGTGGTCAGGTGGCGCCGGAGAAGTGTCTTCTGTGGCGGGATATTGAGGAGCATAGCCAAGGTGTCCCCAGTGAAGCGCGGCTCCAGGATCTAAGAAGAAACCAGACAAACCTAGCCAGGGGTGCCCACAGATGGCACAAGGTGGGGGGCAACGAGAAATGAACTTCTTGGGCCTGAGCGGCTCCAGGGCAAGTGTGGAAGCTCCACCCCTTGTTCCATATCCCACTCCCCTCTCCTTCCCAGGCTCGAGGAGAGGCCTGGCTCTGAGGAGACATTAGCACATTTGTTGACTGCCACCTCATCTTCACAGACCGGCAGAGAAGCAAGATCTCTCTGATAAATCTAGATGACATCCAAGCTGCCGCCTCCACATTTCCCCTGTGGCTTTGCCACTTGACAGATCTGAGCGGTGACAAGGACCATATCATGGCAAGCAGGAAATTACATTTGATGGCTGCCCCCTCACTTCCCCAGTCTGCATGCTCCTCTAGGGACAGGTGGAGCTGCCTTTTTCAGCACTGACCCTCGTGCAAACCCCCATCCCACAATCCTCTGGGTCTGAAGCTGAGGAAGTCCTTCCAGAGGCCATCTTGTATTCTTGAGGTGTATTAATTCTCAGTCACAAATTACCAAAACAATTTCTCTGAGGCTTCAAATTATACATGAAATTCAGGTGAAGTACCTTATTTTTTCACTAGAATTTGTATTTGTTCCTTAGGAAATTAGTTGCTGAACAAACCAACGTGTACCGTGGCAGGTGGCCTAGTCCAGAAAGTCACTCACAATAAGACCACCATGGACGCCACTCCCTCGAAGGTTGGGTGCATACTCTGCCAGGTCCACGGATCGCAGCCACTCCATCACCCTGTGGTTGGACCACTGCACAACTTCTGAAGGAGAAAGGTTACTCTGTGAGAGAAGGAGAGTGAGAACGTTAGACTTCATTGAAGTCAGCACCTACAATCCTACCCAGATCCCTCACCACAAGAGAAGATCCTTATGCAGAGGGACCCAAGCCATCTAGACCACCTGCCTGAGAGCCTTCCCGGTCCCAAGAAATAGAGCTCTCACTGAATCTTGCAGGGCCTTTCACACAGAGATATCTGAATCCATATTCTTGTTACACTAACTTTCAGCCTAATTTAAGGGGAAATAAATGAAGGTATATAGTTTTTTATTTAGGGATTCAACAGAATTTTGAGTTATGAGCCAAGTATTTATGGAAAAGAAATCTGCCTGGTATGGCCAAACATTTTAGTAGAGCACAAAGAAAGATCTCACACGGCATCGCGATCTTCAAAATGCTCCCTTCTGTGCCTGATACAAGAAAAGTATGCAAAACATATCTGTTGAAGAGCAGAGACTAAGAGATGGAGGACAGAGGTATGAGTTGCTCAATCTGTCTGGAAGTAGAGTTAGAAGAGGAGGTAGAATGTGACGGACAACCCCTCAGTACAGGACCCATTAATTACTCCGAGGTCGATGGAGCATTATCAGGAACTTTCCCAGGACTTGGTTGCTGTGTTTGCCTGCATTATTTCTTCTCTAGCAAGACTTGCTCTGAATTCTGTGTGCCTGGGCTGGAAGTTTGTTAATTTTGTATCTACCAGCAGGGAAGCCTGTTCTGAAATATCTGGTTCCTCATGGGCTCCTTTACCTCCCCTGGCTCTTCTCTGCCTGCTCTGACACCATCTTTCCATTTTGTCTTTCCCTTCTTCTCTCTTTCGTCCCACCTTCTCATCTCCTATGATGACTTTGTTTCCACTGCCCTCTTGCCCATACTATTTGTCTCCCTAAGCGAAGGTGGGAGATTAGAAGTTTAGTGGTTACCATGGGCCAAAAGTTCAGGCAACAGGGGTACCAGAATCCCAAGCATGATAATCTGAAATGCAGCTATTTTGTGATGTTGTCGGTCTTACTTTCTCATAAGCAACACTTCAGGACACTGGCTTGGGGCAGGACACCTGCATGGCTGCCCTCCCACCTTACCTCATCAGCCGGCCGCCGATGCAGGCAGTGAGGATTGAACTTATTGACATGCAGCACATGAATGGCACATTTGATGCTGAGATGATGCAGTTGGCTGGTGACTTTTAAGAAGAGCAGATCATTCTGGAAGAGAAAAATTTTGGCTGAGGAACCAGAGCTTCCAAAGTGACAAAAGATCACAGAGGTTCTTCCCCAAACAGACAAATCTTTCATATGTCAGAAAGCTGGACACAGACACACCAACAGATTCCCTTTTGTGACAACTGACATATTTTAAGGCTTTAAGAGTCTGAGGGGCTGGGCATGGTGGCACACGCCTGTAATCCCAGCACTTGGGAAGCTAAGGCAGGAGGATTGCCACGAGTTCGAGACCAGCCTGAGCTACAAAGTGAGCTCAAGGCCAGCCTTGCATAGCGAGACCGTCCCTCAAAAAGACCAAAAACAAACCAAAACAAAAAAACCAACACAAAAGACTCTGAGGGAGGAGGTGGAGCCAAGTTTAAAACAACCACCACAGGCACATCTGAGCTGAACACTCGCAGCAACTGAAATATCGAAAGGGAAAGTCCTCACCACAGTTAGGTATTGAAGCATTCGTCCATCAACTCTGGATTCGTGAAATTGGTCTTTGTATTGGGGTAAGCCAATATCGTCAAGCCACCCTACAGATACAGAAAAAATAGGTATGTTAGGGTTCATGAGAATAGGAGAATGTGGATGCCAAAAACACCCCCCCAGCAAATTAGATTTTGGGTTCCGCTTTTATTCCCCAAAAGGTTTAGTAACCCGTTTGCCTTTCAGAAGTAGACATCTATTTTTGAGGCACACATTCAATAGAGAAATTCTTTCCACCTTTAGAAATGTACTTAATCCATGTATGTCTGTTCTTACTTGTCACCCAAATATGGTCTAGCAGTGCAGACTTCTCCTCCTGCTTGGTGTTGATGGCTTTTACTGCTAAAACCAGCTTCTTCCTATGGAGAGGGTGCTTAATTCCTAGCTCCTAAAATTAAAAGATGAAGACAAGATGTGAAATTCTGGCAGGCAGTTTGGTCCTCAGAGGATGCCATGTCAGGGTGGAGATGCTCTGAGAGGGTGGGAACGGATCCCTTGGATACCAACCCGCAGCTACAGCGGAAATCTCAGCCTTTCCTTCCATCTTATATTGGGGTGGGGGGGTTCACCTCTCCCTCCATACAATGGTCCCATGCACTGGTCTAGGGAGAAATGGCAGCCTCTTTATCGCATGCCTAGCCCTTACCTTTTCCATGTCTTGAGGTGTAGCTGTCAGTAATGTATGGCCAGATGTCACCCACTGCCTGGCAAAGATCACGTACTGAGCCAGGCCAAAGTCCTCGAGCCATGCACACACACGCTCTGTGTTCCACTGGGCAAAAGGCGCATTGGCGTCACTGGAAAGCAAAGAAACAGCGTATTCCTGTCAGTGGAGAGCCTGGGGTTTTGCACATAATAAAGCCTCCCATAAAAGGAACTTTTAACAAACAACCTAGATGATCATGGATGCAGGTGAATGAAATTTCACAGCAACCCACTCAAGTGAAGTAGACTCTACAGTTTCCTTGATAGCATGGTCTGAGTTCCAATCCAGCTACTTACAGCACAGGGCAGCCTACAGAATCCTAGGAAACTGCTTACTCACCGTATGACCAGCCACATACTGGTGGGCGTGGCCCATTAAAATGAACATCCACAGTGAAATCATTTTGTCCACAAGATTCAACTCCCATTTTAGGAAAATACTTAGAAAACTAGGAAGAGATAGTCAATTCTCTAACATAAAAAACAAAAGCAAAACAAAATAAAACCCAAACCAAAAATCTTCTAACCAACAACAGCCAATACCTATTTATTAACAAAATACTAGGGGCATTCACATTAAAATCAAGATAAAGACAATATATATTTTTATCAACACATATTAATGACAGTAGTCTGAGAGTTGTGTGCAGAAAAAGAAGTGATAAAAATAAAAGAAATATAGCTATTAGGAAGGTGGAAACAAAAGAAAACAATTATTTTTAGATGTTATGACTGCCACCCAGAAAACCCCGGAAAGCTTAGTAAGGTGGCTGGTAATATAATATACATACATGCATATGCATGTGATATGTATCTAACTTGTAAAAGTCAACATATACTATTCATGCACAAATCCGAATGCTTTCCACCCATAGCAGCCAAAATTACAAATTGTCAGGGAATTGCCTTAACAAGGCATGGCTGAGCCCTGTGAGACCGTATATGGGGATCGGGGTAGAGTGGGGTGATACAGTAGCTATAAAACTCAACTGAGCAACATAAGAAAAGACATAAATAAATGAAGAATTAGATCATGTTTCTAGACAGGAAGACTAGGTATTAAGAGCCATCCATTCTTAAAGACATCAATTTTTCATTTAAAGTGTGAATATTCTGGCACTCTAAGCACCCCAATGGAATCTTTGTGGGGACAGACAAAGCAACTTTATAGTCATTTCTAAAAATAAATGGGAATTTATGGAATACAGAAGAGCAGGTGTTCAAACGATTCTTTTCCCAAAAAATGCAGTAGTCTCTTGGTATCCACGAGGGACTGCTTTCAGGAGCCGAAGATGCTCAAGTCCCTTGTACAAAATGGAATAGTATTTACATTTAGCCTACACACATCCTCCCATGCACCATCATCTCTAGATTATGTATACACTACCTAACACAAAAAAATTACAAATTTAACAAAACAAACAAAAAAACCCGCTATAGTTCTTTTTTACCCTCATCTTTTGAGTGCATATCCACTGACTTCTTTGTCTGTTCACAGATGATCAGTCTTTCTTCTAGGACAAGTGTCAATATTTTTTTTTTTAAATTAGAATTTTTAAAAAGTTGTGGCTTCACAATTTAGAATTGGTATTGCCGTGCATGCTTTTAGAATCATCGTTTAAAATTTAGGGAAATCTCTATCCAAAGTGTCTTTTATACAGTGAGTGGTAAAACTACACAGCATTAACTTTTCTTGTGCTGTGGCTAATCTTTAACATTTTTGGAGCTGACAATATCCATGAATCAGTGTGTTACCTACATCCTTGTGGTGGCAGCGTGAGTTTTATGTTATCTTTGTTGAGGTTGGTATATCAGGGAAAATTAGCAAGAAATTGTATGAATAACAATCTAGGAACCTACTCACTGCTTCTGTTTGAAATTTATCTTTTTGCTCTTACAGCTTTTGATGTGATCTGGCACTTTTGTTTTCCTTTATAATTTATTTCTTAATGTGAAAATAATTTCTCTCAATGTCCATCTCCTCAGTTTTATTTCACATTTGATTAGGTTTTTTATTTCATTCATTTTTTCATTTCTGGAAATTGGAAGGAGATTAATATTTTATATATCCGTAAAGCATTTCAATTCTAAAGGGAGAAATAAAGTGTTTTCAGAATAATAGTTTGAAAACCTCTGACCTTTCAAACCACTCTGGAGTTCCGGCCCTCATCTCAGCAGTCTTCTCACTGATGGTTTTGTGTGCGTGTGCACATGCTCACGTGCCCACACACACACACACACACACACACACACACACACACACATATGCACATGCATACCCCCCACATACACACACACACCCCAGACCTGTGTTGTTCCACAGCGTCGGACCGCGTACCCCCTCAGCTCCTCTCAGAGCCAGGAGCTCTCACTCCCTCTGTGGACTACGGCTAAATGTGCTCCGGAAGTTACTGGGCTATGACAGAGAGCGTATCTTTCCACTTGTTTTACTGACACATTCTAAACACCTTTCCAAATTGCAGTTAAAATGATGCAACTGTGATTATCAGATATGTGATTATCAGATATGATGCTCCCATGGTGGAGGAGAGTACAGGGTACACCTGTAATTGCATACACTTTATTAGCAAGTACAGTCCTGATAGGAGAGAGTTTCTGTTTTGACAGGGTATTCAACAGAACCAAAACTACTGCTTGGGATTTTGCAGATCTGAAGACGAGAAGAATTTCCACAGGCTAGTTTCTGGTTTCGCTCATCTCAAATATGGTTTTGCTCCCTACTGCCACACTTCTGCATGCAGTGCTGGAGGACATATTCATACTGAGGTAGGACCTCTGATTTGCATCTCTGTACCAGCGTGCAGGGCAACTTGGCAAGTGAGAAGTAAAAGTAATTATGGAAGCCACTGCTACGCTATGATAGCGAGTTAACTAAACCTAGCTAAGTGAAATATGAAGTGACTGCAAGTCACACACACATATCCTACTAAGCCCAAACTAGTTGGATGCTCAGTTGAACTACCCCTTAGTCAGTTCCCCCAAAGCCCCATGGCTACTCCACTATCATTTGATGTAAGGGAAAGCGTAGATCAAGGGAAAACTAGAGAAAAAGATTCAGCAGTCTTCAAACTGGCTGTGTTTAAATTACTTAGGAAAATTTTCCATACGCTTGACACTGTCAACACGTCGATCAGCAGCTCCTCTCTGGACACTAGAAGGGGCCCATACAAGTAAAGGCCTAGAAGCTTCCTTACATCTGTGAGTAATCTGATTCTGCCCATTAATGTGGGGGAAAGACTTTAGAATGGAGTCTGAGGTGGGGAAGTGATCTGATTAGAAACCCTTCATAAAACTACAGTCCTGAAGGACAATATACTCAACAGATCCATTCAGAAAAACCCTCCACAAAGATGAGACCCAGCGTGGAGCTCTAGAATCTGTCTGCCTTAAACAAGACACTTTATTTCTATTTTCTTGAAACACACACACACACACACACACACACACACACACTAACCTCATATATTAAAATAAATCTGATTATTTAAATATAGTTTTTAAAAAAATCATAGAAATTTTAAAAACAAAGTAATGAAAGAAAATGCAAAGGAAAACTTAATGAAGATTATATGTAAATATAAAAATTCTACATATCAAATATGCCAATCAAAAATAAAATTCTGCCATATGCCTAAAAATGTCCTGTCACAATGATCAGACACAGTTTAATATTTTAACATATGGAGAGCAGACAGAAGACTATAAGAAAGACACTAATCATTAAATAAAATTGGCAAGAAATGTAGACAACACACAAAGAAGAATTAGAATGATTATCATGCAAAATAGCAATAAAAATGTAATGTTTTGGAAGTCTACAGAAGTACAAAAATTTGGGGGCTGGGGATTTAGCTCAGCGGCACAGCGCCTGCCTGGCAAGCGCAAGGTTGTGAGTTCAATTCCCAGTACCGGGTAAAGAGCTGGGGAAAAAAAAAAAAAGAAGTATAAAAATTATCAACACTTAATGCTGACAAGGATGTGGGGGTAATAAGACTCCCTGTACAGCAGTGCTGACTCATATATAAACCAGTACAATTTTACCTGGAGGGGGGGGGGTGGATAATAAGAATCATTTTTCCATAATCTGAGAGAGATTTCTACCAAATGTTATTGTCAAATACCAATTTTTAAAAAATTGATCAGACAAAAAGGGATAAGGGCTGGAGGCTTTCAGTAACAAATTACTTTTCCTATGAGCATATTAGTGACAACATTTTTAAAAAGGTTTTGCCTTAAACATCTACAAACTGTAAACATCAGGGGGCATTAGCATATAATTACACGAAATTCCTGCTTGAGGGTAATGACAGCCTTTCTTTTCCACCAGCATGTTCATTTTGTCACCACAGGCACAGCTGAGATAAACACTGCCATCACGTCAAGACCTCTTCATTCTTATTCCCTTTATCAACCATTGTTATGGTTAACAAAACACAGAAACATTCCGGACAAAGCAGCCCTGTGCTGGAATTGCAATTTTTTCCTTTGGCAGAGAACTTCCTTGACCTTGGTTACCCTACACCCTAAAGTGACTAGCAGAATATAAGTGGGCTCCCTCACCATGCAGTCCTGTTCCAGGAAAATGCCAAAGGGCCTCAGAAAAGTTCTTAGACCCTGACCCAGCAATTCCCCTTCTAGTGTCAATCCTTAAAGAAACAGCCATAATTGGAACCAAGATGAACCATTCAAGTTTACTGTAGCTTTATTTTTTCATCTCAGGAAAACCAGATACATCAGTAATGTCTGAATTAGGATAATACCTAAGTAAATTAGAATATCTAATTATGGAATACAATAGGTAAGCCATCATTGGTCCTGAATCGGTCTCTGACTTCTCAGATCATGTCCTTAGATTCCCTAAGCTCCCGACATTTACTGAGAATTCACATTTGTGGCTAGAGGCACCAATGCCTAGGGTCCTAGGGGGATATGCACAGGAGGTCTTTACATTCTCATATTTCTTTTCAAGATCCCAGAGTATAAAATAGTTGTAGGGACACCCATAAAAGCACAGATGGATCTGGAAAATTTCTGTGTCTCAAACATGAGGAGGATTTGGCAAAACCTTGAAATCTAAGGGCGGCAGGCCAGGCAGGGAAATATATCACCCATGTGCAAAGTAAACAAAGGCTGCCTTCCACGGGAGATGAGGTTTGTGAACAAAGCACTGAGAGTGGGTTATGGATGTACAGAGGCCCTTCCAGCTCAGCCACCTCCAGCTTCAGGGAGCCCTCGCTTTCTCTGACGTAAGCACCGGTGAGCATGGTAAGTGTCCGCCAGTATCAACCGGGGAAGTTGTGAAGCTCTGCACTAAAGGCTCCTGCGATCCGTCTCTGCAGGGTCTGAGATGTTCAATCCTTATCCCCACCTTGGCCAGGATTTCACACAGCAATTTTATAGACAGACTCCAGGGAGCCTTACCATTTCTGTCCCTTGGAGTCCCTGGTTCTTGACAACCTTGGCCCTGCAGTTGCCCGGAGCCCACCTCGTCGAAACTCGGCCATCCCTGGTGCATCAGTGTTGAAATTTCCTGATTGGGTTCTTCGGATCCTGTGTGGAGAGCAATCCAAGGACACTGTCAGAGGCAGCCTGAGGGCCCAGAGGCAGTGCACCCCCCTTTCCAACCAAAGGAGACCCAAGGCTCTGGAGATCAAAGATCATAGAGCAAGGAACACAACCTGTGACAGTTCCTTCACCAGTCTTCAGCCTCAATTCTAAGCTTCCTCTGGGCTTTGGTCTACTCCCCGTGGGGTTCAAAGGAGATTCAGAGGAGGTTCTAGCTGCTGTCTCATTTCAGACTGGCTCACTTGGGCCAGCAATTACTCAACTGTCTTCAAAGGTTTCTCAAGATACAGATTAGAGGTCTAAGAAGGAAGAAACCAGTCTCACCTATGTCTTTTCAAATAAGCTGCAGAGAATTGTGGGATGGATAGATGCCTAGAATGGGTGACACGGTAGGCAACTGGCTATACTTAGTGAGTGTGTGTCAACCTTCTTCTCTTGGCCCTGAAAAACAACTCCAGTTCTTCTCTGAACATGACTGCCCTGTTTTTATAGCTCTCTCAATGTCTGGTGAACCAGGGGCTTACACAGACTCTTTGCTACGCCAAGAAGAGAATTAACTTGAACCAATATGATCCTGAGTGTCACCAACCTACTTTCCCCCAAGCAGTATGATTATAATCATCATTACCAACTTACTTTCCCCAGAATTTCTTGATGCCTTTGGGGCTCCGTTTACCATCCGGTGTCAGGGGAGACTGGGGGGTGGACTCAGTACCCGAGGAGGTGGATGAGATGTCGTTGGTCATGGCAGTATCTTCCCAACCACTTTCTGTGTCTCCTGAGGTTGAAAGGATGAAATGATGCTTGAGGGGAGTAATAAGCGTGCTGTGGAACCCTCCTCTCCAAGCTAGGACCATCCTTCTGTGGCAGTCCTGGAGCTCCGCCCTTGGCACAGACTGCCACACCAAAATCCCGGAGACCAGTGGGGTTCAGGCACATTCCAGGCTCTCTTGGTAAGGCATTAGTAAGCTTAACACTTCAAATCTGGCTAAGCTTATGTCTTCAAATTCTAAGAGTTTGCATTCCAAGTATTTGTGGGTTATTCAATAAGGAGCTTGCTCTCTTCCCTCAGCAGTGGATGTGGGAATTCAGGCAAGAAGGGGAGCACGGCTGAGAACTTGGGCGGGGGAGGTGTTAGGGTAGGGGAACGGGAAACAAAAGCATTCTCACTCCCCACCTCACCTGGAACAGGTACAGTACCTAACACGGGGGCACTGACACTCCGGCCATGATCTCCAGCCAACCAAGAAGCAGAGAAGCCACATGAAGGAACAAGAGAGGCCAAAGTCCAGCCCAACAGAGTTACAGGAAGCAAAGATGTAAACAAAAGAGCATTATCAAATGAGAGAAAAACTCAAACAGAAAGAAAAGTAATTCCAAGAGGAGTGGTAGGGAAAATGGTAATTGAGCCATGCCCACAGCATCAGAGAACTGAGAAAAAGCCTCACAGGAGGGGCCAAATGCTTCCGGTGTGCTTCCAGGGAGACTTAGGTGTCCACGCGTGGAGTGGGGGCAGGGGGCAACAAGGCTGAACAGAGGGCTGCACACACAGCTCTCATGTGCCAGGGCTCACTCAGACCAGAATGACCTGAAGCTGCTGAGAGTCCAGGCTGAGTACCATTGGACACACATTTAAGGGCCCATCTCAGCTGCTGCCCCCAGCACAGCTGGCCTTCATGAGCTGACTCACAGGCTGGCTCACAGAGCAGCAGGGAGAGGAGTCAAGGGTAGCAAGAATGCTACCAGAAGCACAGCGTTCCCTCCTTGGTCCAAATGAATCTGCTGCCACTTTTGGGGAAAGATGGTTTATCTTGAGGAAATGCAGCAAAGACTGCACGGTTCCAGGTCCCACCCTCCGAAAGGATACCTCTGGACTGATATCCTTGTCCCTTGGCCACTGCCACCATTTGCCTAAAGTGCTCTTGCTTGAAGAGCCCAGACTATCACCCTAATGGCAACAAAAAGGCTACAGAGAAGGCGGAGACAGACGAGGGGAGATCAGATGGCAGAGGAAGAGTGAGGGATGGGTAAGGTGGAAGGGATGTCTAGGACGGAAAAGAGGAATGAACAGAAAGGACAAACAGGTTGAAAAGAGAAATGGAAGACGGTGAGAAAATGGGGTAACTACAGCTGGACAAAACAGGGCACATACATAGCCCGTTTTTTTGAGACCCTTAAGTGCTGAGCTTAGGTGTTAGGAAACACCTTGCCTGGCCTGTTCTGTGTGGTACAACCTTTAAAAATGGGACTACTGTGGGGTACAACTCGCTCCAGGACTCCTGATCGCCACCACTCTCAGTTGTGGGCTGCAGTGGTGGAGGCGGGTATCTGATTCAGTGAGACTAGAAGTGTCAGAGGTGAGACACTCACTCAGCCTTAGCAGGTTGCTCCCTGAGGGGTCAGGCTGGGAGGCGGGAGGAGGAGATTTGGCAGCTTCTCCGTTGGGCGTGGCTCCTGAAAGCTTCCCAGGTAATGTAGGATATTTCTGCTCCACCAGGAAAGAGCTGTCCTATTGGAAAGAGAGACAGAGAGATGCTGAATTAACCCTCAGACTCAAACTCAAACTCAAACTTCATCAGGGAATCTTTTCCTGGATTTCCTGGAACAATATCATCAACAGTTTCCTGTTCTTCTGCAATCATTTTTCACTTATCCTGAATCAAAGACTGCGTCAGGGAAGGAGACCAGAGTTCTAAGAAAGGAAGAAACCTATCCACAGAGTGAGGCAGGGACAGAGTAAAGCCCAAATGGAGGGCTGAGTGTAATTGCTTCTGAGCAGGAGGCAGAAAAATAGAGATATCTTGCAAAGGGGGGCCTGTGCCATATGGCCTAGTGTTCAGAGGCTCATTGAATTAATAGCCACAAATTGCTTCTTGCCAGAATTTGCTATCTAGAGCCTTATCTCATACCTGTATGTTTGAATGCACACACGCACACACACTCACACACACACACACACACTCCCGAGAGAAGGCTGAGGTCAGTCTGGGCTGGGTTTCCCTGTTATCCTAGACTTCCTTTAGTGGTTAGTACCAAGGCGCTTTGGCTAAGTAGGACCCTTCACATACACCAGGCCAGGGCAAAGCTCTGCAAGAGCTTGGCCAAGTACACAAATTATGTGGATCTTGACTAAGAGAAACCCATGCTATAAGAAGACAGAGTTTAAATTTGAAGCAACAAAAGAAAAAGTCTGAGCCAGATGTGGTGGTGCATGCCTATAATCCTAGCATTGTGGGAGGCTGAGGCAGGAGATTCTTGAGTTTAAGGCCTTAAGTTTAAAAGAAGGTGAAAGATTTATGCGATCGGAAGAGAAACCAGAGTATAAGGCCTTAAGTTTAAGTTTAAGGTCTTAAATCTTAAGTTGAAGATTCTTGAGTTTGGGCGTTAGAGGCTAGCCTGGAACACATCAAGACCCTGTCTCAATCAACCAATCAATCAATCAAGTCCACACTGTGATAACAGTTCTTTTGAAAAGCACCATGTTAAGGCAAAGCAAAAAGGTGCACACACACCTGGGGAAGAGGACAACAGGAAATGGCCACGCGCCAACACAGAGCTCCCTTAGGAACTGTGTGAAATACCACTTCAGTGCAACAGGCTCCGTGCTTGGGCCCTGGCCATATAAAGTGTCCCAAAGAAACAGGTTGATTAAACAAGAAAGAAGAACAGAATTTGTGTGGTTGAAAAAAGGATATAATGACTCATATATCTGCAAACCCGAGGGAAACAAAGTGGAATCTATTGTGAGAGTGAGAGAAAAAAAAAAAAGGCGAGAGAAACCGAAGTAAATATCACTGAGGGAATCAACTGTAGATCATTTGATTGGGCCCAGAAGAAAAGTAACATGAAAGACAAAATAGATTTTGAGACTGGCAAGTCAGAACAAGGAGAGGCTGCTGTGATGGGGACATCTGAAGCTTCTTCATTTAGCTAAAAGTCAAGTGATCGATTCATCTCCAAATTCACTTTGCTTATAAATGCATGTGCTAGGAACTGTCCAATATTCAGCTCATTTACTGAATGAACATTGACCATAATCCCCTCAAAACAGATTCAGAAAGAAGAGATCTTGGGAGAGGAAACTAAATTCTTTATTCCGAAAACACTGGCCAGTGAGGAGAAATAATTAGAGCCCTGACAGACTAAGACCATGAGATTTTCAAGTTTGTGATTATCTGTGAGATAGAAGGTAGACGAGATCAGACACGTAGGCAAGATCAACAGTTCCCCAGGGCTGCTTCATACAGTGGCTGCTTCACCCTCACCTGGAGCACTGCAAAAAAAAAATATGCATTACCCGCTGCCTTCCCAGCCCTGTGAGTCAGCCCCTGTGGAGCACACCCCAGGAGTCTGTATTTTTAACTAGTGTCTGAGATTATTCTGATACACAGTCAGCCCCAGGAACCCCGGACTGTGGGAAAGTAGTACTCAAAAGGCTTAAAGAACTGCAGGGAATGACGCCAGTTCCGTATCACACATGTAATATGGGATGGCAAAAGGCCCTCAAAACAGGTTTTGGCAGTGTTACCACAAACACCTCCAGGCCAGGTGAAGACAGCACAGGCAATGCTCTTCTCTTTCACCTTTCAGAACCTCTGCTTTGTACTTTTTAGACACCATAGTGGTAACAAGTCCCGCTTCTGGTTTACTGTGAAACACTAAGCACAGGGCGAGCACACAGTGGACAGCAGCCAAACAGAAGCACCGAAGATATCACGCTGAGTTCTAGAGTGACCGCAATCGACAACAGCAGCCCCTAGACTAAGGAAGGCATGTGTCAGATAGCATCTCAAAATCACATTCAAGTGTGGCCTGGGCACAACTTAAAAATCCTTTGAGAAACTTTTGCTTTTCAGGCTGGTGATTCATGAACAAGAGTAAGTGTTCACTCCAGAGAACAGAGCATTTGGAAAGAGCTGGAGGAACTTCATCCTCGAGCTGTCAGAAGTAGGGAAGATTGACTCAAAGCACAGCAGAGCCAGGCCAGAGGATGCAATTCTGGGGAAGGTCAGAAGACATGGCTAATATTCAGAGCTGGAAAGTCATACAAGGAGGTCTACCATGTAACAAGTTCACTCACAGAATGGGCCCCCTGAAGCAAGGCCCAGGTTAGAGGGTGCTGATACAGAAAGATTACTGCGCCTGCGAATGGTCCCGGGAGTATAGTCCAGTGTGTGTGTGTGTGTGTGTGTTTAAAGAGGCAGCCATATTGAACTGAGTTGCAAAACATTATTGATTGTGGTCAAAGCTACATTAGAATCAAACTTTTAATCCAGAATATTTATATTTTCTCTTCATTAAGAAATCCCACATCGCTCATATTTCTTGGTAATCAAATCCATGTCTCCAAGTTTGAGCCCATGAGTGAACTGTGTTTCCAAAGCAGCAGACAGACACCTAGACGTGTGCCTAGAAACATCTGCGAGGGGCCCCTGGGAGGCTGAAGGGGGAAGGGGTGTCTTCTGGGCAGTAGATGTCACAGTCTCCACACCAAGGCTTTTGCCGAGGGATCACAGGGACTGTAGACCCCAGGATCAAGGGACCATGTATCCAAAGCACAGAGACAGTGGATTAGGCAGACTTTTTTTTTGGTTTTTCTCTGGTACTGGGAACCGAACTCACGACCTTGTGCTTGCCAGACAGGCGCTTTTGCCGCTGAGCTAAATCTCCAGCCCTAGGCCGACTTTTGCTCTACAGTTCAGGTGGCGCAAGGAATGGCTGCCTAATTGTAACACCAACTGCTATAAATGTGAAAGTGCAGAGAAGTCCCTTTGCTAGAGGCAGAGGTGCAGACAAGATCTTCCTTTCATACTGTTTGAAGGGCAGAGATGTCCCATTTTGTCCTACTGGTGTAAATATATAAAAAGCAACCCTCTCAAGCAAAGCCCATGTGGGAAAAGCAGAAGACACAGAGGCCCATGCCCAACACATTTCCCATACAATGCTACACATGGTGGCTGGGTGTGGCTGAAGTCATGCAAATCACACAAAGCTTCAGTTCATTATCGGTTTACATTTGTGCACTGATCTGGAGACTTCATCTTCCACAACAGACTTCCTAGGAGAAAATCAGCTCCAATGGAATTTTTATAACATAACTTGCTCATTAATGGGAGACCCGGTGTCCTCCTGTGTTTGTTAACTGTGACACATCAACATACAAAGGATAAACACTGTCACACTCTTCTGGGTGCTAAGACCACTCTATCTCCCTTCTCAGCAATTAAATCTAGATTACCTTGTTAAGGATTAATTTCTCCAAGTCTATAACATGGGGTGACAATAACAAATCCTATCCCACAAGCAATGTCGGTAAAAGCCATACATATGAGAGCACATAAAGATATAATGGGGAAAAGAACTTTACTTTTCTTATTGCCCTCCTACTCTTTATGGTTAACATATTTTATGGCTCCAGAGCTATGACTTGCTATAACACTCTAGCAAACAGTCCCACCACAGATAGGTGATAGAGACATGAAGTTAACGTACCTTGGGTTCTGTAACAGGAGAGAGCTGGTTCCCATTGACACACTAGGGAATGACAAAGATTTTGATTGTGTGGAGAAAAAGAGACCTGTGTTAGTCACAAACAAAAATTCAGGACTACCTGTCTGCTTACATCTGAAAGGGGCACACGGACAGACACACACACACACACACACACACACACAAACACCTTCATCTCAAGTATCACTATCCATGGGAACTAATATAGGTCTCTGTCCAACACCGGACAGACGTCTTGAGTAGCTGCTAATTACCTGACCGGGGAACACAAAGCACATGGCCTTGGAAGCAAAGCACGGCTCCAGCATTTATGGATCTCCACTACCACTAGGGACGTGGGCACTCTGCTGGAGTCCAGGAAATGATACACAGCACAGGCTTGCTGGAGGCTCTATCAGGACAGGAGTCCTTGTTCTCTGGTAAGTTCAAGAGCCTGTGATCCTTGTCCAGTATAGGGTCCACCCACATGGTCAAGAGCTATCCTCAAGTAAAGGGCCACAAAGCCCTCTTCATAGCTTTTCTAGATGGTTTTTAAAAAGCTGCCTCTCAGTCTTCTCAGTTACTCCAGATCTGACTCTTGGGATTGTGTCCTTTATCCACATTACTTCATTCAAAATTTCTACAATGATGCCTAGTGCCCTGGGAAGATGGGGCCAATAGCCAGGTATCGGATCAACCTTCCCTGGTTTGATCTGATGCATGGCTCTGACTGTCCTTCTCCTGCTCCCCCACCATTTTCCAAAACCTGCCAGTATGCACCAGACTTTAACAAATCTTTGCCCACCACAACCACATGCTTATCAACTCCAGCCGGCTTTTTCTGACTGGTCCTGTCGCAAGACTGCCTTGGGCCAACCTGTCTGTTTTTTCTAAAAATATTCATGTAATTCTGCCTCCCCAGCAACTATATAGGTTTCTCTCCAAGGCAAGGACCAGGATTCACCTGCATACCCTCGCACTGTGATGGGCCCAGACAAGTATCTCAGTAATCTTGGTGGTAGACTGATGACTGACCTTATCCACGGATCCACTTCTCAAGTCTTCTAGACTACAGGAGAGCTTTTTCTGAGCTCTAGACAAACACAAAACAAAGAGATAGTTACCAGAGAAGGCGGTACACGGTATCAACATACAGAGGACATTCCTTGTGCTAAATCAGTGGTCTGTCTTGAGCTTTCAGTAAAGTAAAGGTCAGGGCATTTAAAAAAACCCTCCCTCTTACAGTAGCCAATAGATAAGACAGACCGGCCCACCTTGGGAAGTAGCCTGGTCCAACAGTATGTTGGTGAGGGCTTTAGATCCCAGTGAAAAGTCCTAGGCATTGCTCAAAAAGCTGGAGTACACTTAATTTTGTTACACCGATGGAAAGTGGCTGCCATGTGCTGACACGAAGACCAATGTCTGCAGAGTCAAAGGACAGGCAAAGCACAGATGCTGGCTTGTCTGTGAGGCTAAGATTGAGCAAAGAGAAAGAAGTTGGTGCCCACTCAGAGTGGAGATAAAAATATCAGCCGGCCACAAATCCAAAGCATCACCTGCTTGGGTCCTCCAGCCCGATGCCCTGGCTCTGCACACACTGAGCAATCCGATCAGAGAAATGCTGTTTGCACAGGGGCTACTTTGCAGATACAGGACCAAAAGGGAAAGAAGAGGCAGTGCCGCCAGTGGTCTCAAGGGTAACCTGGCTAAGTTTTTTTGGCAACCATATTTCTTAGTGTATAGAAATAAATCAGCATTTGTTTATATATTAGTCTCTTGTAAGTCTGGTCAGTATGAGTTCCTCATTGTTGATTTCCCAAATGCATTATAAATTAATTTCTTCTGCAAAAGTTATGACTGGCCAATCAGCCTGTCAGATATTGCTATTCTTCTACGGGAAACAACTGTTCCCCATAGAACAACTGCCCCAGGAGAACAACTGTTCTTCAGAAACTGGGCTCTGACAGTACAGACTGCACAGCTGAGGAGTCAGCACTATTTTGGGGAAGTTTCTGTCATGCTGTAGCCATCTTCCCCAGACTCCCTGGCTGGAACCTGTTCATGGTGGTGAAATCTCCATGCCTCCCTCACATGGAACTAAATTTGAAAACATTTGTAAGGAATAGGTATAGTGATCTAGAAATTGCTTAATTTTAGAGGAACCATTCAGGTAGTAGTCAACGATCCCATGGCCAGCCCATTAGAAGTGCACTGTTACCAAAGCCATTGGATTAACTTCCCAGTGAAAAGAAATGGCCCTCCCTACAATGCCTGGGTAGTCAAAGGACTCAATTCATCCAAAGAACATTGCAGAGGGGCTGATGGACATGACAAACAAACATCATGGGATGCTCTCCACTCCAAGAAGCCCTGGGAGGCATGGGAGAGTTATAGTCACCTCCTCTCTGAGGCTCCAAGACCTCTGGCCAGGTCTTTTATCAGTGACAATGATCTAGAACTGTGGGAAAGGCAGCCCATCTGCGGTCAGGAGAAGTAGGCTTGGTTGGCGATCCCTGACAATGGAAGGTTGGATGTGCCCAGAGCAGGGTGGCGAGGCTCCGCACACACGGCTAGTTGCATTTCAGGAACCCCAAGAGGGACCTGCAAGCACAGAGACGCTAGGCAGATGGCCAAGTCTCCTACCTGGTTTCCAGTGACTTCTGCGGCAGAGGAGGGGGCCCCACCTTGGGAGAGCTGCATTTTGGAGGCATCTGCATCAAAAAAGAAGGGACACCTGAGAGGAAAGTTACTATTTGGGGACGACCCTTCCCTCTTCCCTGCATGATTCCTTTGGGGAGCCATGTTTTCACTCTTGGGTACAGTCAAGGTGGATACATCAAAATGACACCTTGCTCTTTGAAGATGCCAAGTGGGTAGGCGGCATCATCCTCATCATCATTATCATCATAATAACAACTTGCCTTTCCTTCCTAATCCCCAGAGTTTAGATAAAGTTCTTATTCTAGCAGTAGTATCCTGAAACTTGGGTCTCTAGGCTTTTGCCACGCCTGCCCTTTCTGAGCTTGGCTCTCCAGTTTTTCCTTTCATTCTGTGAGTCATTACACAGCCTTCCAAAAGCATTCCATGTTGGCTTTGGTTAACCAGAGTCAGATTCTGTGGCTGGTAAGGGAGAACGCTAGTGATACAGTCACTTAAGAAACATCAGCCATGTCTATTGCCTGCCATCCCTATGCTAGGTGAGGGGCAAGCACACCCCACAGCTGGAATGCGACAGCTAAGCAAAGATAAAAGAGTAATGCCACCTGTCCTTATGGCATCGATACCTACAGCACATGTGGGGAAAGAGGGAAGGGTGGGCAGTGTTCAGAAGGCCGAGGAAGGGAGGCCATGTGAGCTCCAACCTGAGGCGGGAGAATGAGAATGAGCTCACCACGAAGGCAGAAAGGAAAGAGTATCTCAGGGAAGCAAGCATGAGCTAATGGGGGTGTCTTCAGCGCTGCACTGACTGCGAAGACAGCCTCTTTTCCTACAGCCCAGAGTGCTTTTGGTTTACTCTAGGAAGAACCCTAGCGTTAGAGCATAGCTGGGTTTTGTGGTCAGACACACTCAGGTTAGAGTTCAGGTTCTGCCACTGATTTGCAGTGTGACCTGGAGTACACTATTTAGATTCTTTAATCCTCAGCTTCATCACAATATACTAAGAATCCAATGAGGTTCTACGAGGGATAAACAGGTAAACCATGTACAGTACACGTCACAGCGACCACACACAGGTCCTGAGCGAGCCCTGGTTACTGCTGTTTTGTTACTGCCAAAAATGTGGGGTGCTTCTTCTGACCCAATAACAGGTTCACTGTGTGCTTTTAATTCAGAGGATTGAGTGAGACTCTAAGGCCTTTTTCTCTAAGGTTGTTCTGGAATTTCATGAATCTTCTGGCCCCAAGGCTGAAGTCTCTCTTTTACCTAAGGTCTGTGTTCACGAGCTTGTTTGTTCATTTATATTCAGTCTAACCACACAGAGATTCATGTGATACGACCAGATTTTAAATCAAAGAGATGGGAAATCTGTGTGCTGACTATGGGCTTGAAGAAATACCTATGAAACAGAAATGTATCACTTCAAAAGTTGCAGATATCTCTCAACACATGTTTGCTAAATTCTCTTCATCTCTTCTCCAGAATACTGCAGATTCTGAAGAAGTTGTGGTAAACAAAACAAACACCTTTGGTCTACATTTACATTCTAGAGAGGAAAGAACAAAGTAAACAAGGAGCCTGATTAGAAGGGAAAGTTCTAGGATATACCAAGCCAGTGCTGTTCTACAGATATCATTATTCACGATGAACATGTGTATTTGACAGGTGCCTGATTAGATCTCCTTCTAGGCTAAGATCACGCTCTGGGGGCTGCTGTAACCCAAACTGTAGATGGAAATATGGTACCTCTTGTTTTAATAATTCTTCGGGGCCTTTATTTGCAGGGCTCCACTTTCTGAAACTTCCCTCCAGTTCTTCTTCATTGACTGAAAGAGTTCGCTCGGAAGACCCTGGAAGCATTAATGCAGAGGTAGTGGATTATTACTGTTACGGTTTAGATCTAGAATGCCCTGTAAAACCCTCCAAGGTGTTAGCAGTAGGCTTTTGGAAGGTGACTGGCTGTGGGGTGCTAGTGGGTTAAACCACTGATTCTTTCACAGCTCTCTTGCTGCCAGGAGATGGGCTTGGCAGGTCCCTGAAGGCGTGACTTGGAAGGATGGATCTCCCTCCCCGACTCTTCCCTTTCTGCCATTTCTGCCTTGGAGCCGGCTGACCATGGAATGAACCCACTAAAAATGTGGGCCAAAATAAACCAGGCCTCCTTTAAACTGTGGGTGTCCAGTATTGGGTCCTAGCAACAGAAAAGGAATTCAGACAATTACTGTGTAAATTATTCAGAAACTCTTAAACTGCACCCTAAAACCATAACATAATTTCTCCTTTATTAATAAATATGTAAAAGGAAATCAAGAATGTGATTTGGAAAATTCTTAAGGCATATGAGCAAGCAAGGCTGTCATGAGGGTCATTTCAAGGTCAAAGTTGATGCCTGGAACAGAGGTGAGGCATCCCTTGCCTCCAACCTACTTACTTCTTGGCCACAGGCTGTCAGGCCTTGAAAGTGTCTTGGCCCAAGATCATAAAGAGGTAGAAAAAAAAGGGTTACAACATGTGTGTGAGGGCTGGCAGAAGCCCAGGACATCTTGCTCCTTTTCAAGAAGAAGCAACAACTTAGTCAGAATCAGAGGTTCTCAAACACCTTGAAAAATAGTTCTTTCTTGAGAAATAGCTCCTTCTCCAGGTAATCAAAGTCCAGAACAGTGGCCTGAGAAGCAAGGCAGGCAGCCTGGCATATGCACCCTGGTGCCCAAAAGATCACACATGCTGCCTGCACGGTGTACCAGTCCGGGTGGCAAGTGTGAAACCCACAGCTCTCCCTGATTAAAAAGGAAAAGTCCTAGCCTTGAAAGTTCCAGGGTCTTACCAAGCTGTCCGCAACCAGAAGACAGGCCAAACCTCAGCCTCTGCTCCCCTCCACGCGACCCTTTAAGCCTGAGGGCTGGTCTATGAATATAATTACTCAGAGTAAACATGTGTCCTATCCTTTCCTTATCCTGTGACTTCCTTGGCAACCCAGGCATCAGGCAATTCAAGGAAGGCTCTCAGGGGCCCTGTGAGTCTTCCAGGAGCTCCAGATTTCTAAGAAGTAGACAAGCTCCAATCCCCAGTAAGGGCAGATTGATTTCTGATCCAGGTTTGTCTCTCCTTTCTATCTCTAAGGAGTATCCTGAAAAGATGTGTAGATGCCCGTCCAGGGGTGAGAATTCCCAAGGAGTAAACTTGAAGCCTTCATTTTCTGAGTGATCTGGATAGTTCCTAGAAATTTTGAACTCACTACCACTTGATAAAATTTGTAGAAATCAAAAGCTGCCAATTTCCCACACTCAAGGACAATTTAAATGCTCCATTTTGTTTTTCAGTAGATCTTTTCCAAATGGAGATAAAGAGTCTGACAGAATTGTCCTGAGATGTAATAAAGAAGATGGGATATTTTCCAGTGAAGTTGTTGTGCTTGTCCTTCCTTACCTTGCGTTGCCAGCACAATCTCCTTCATCCTTCGGTACTGGTTCAACAGCCCCGTAAGCTCCTCTATCCGACGGTCCTGCCGTGGTATGACAGCAGGTATAAATTTACACTACCACTGGTACCTCAGGGGATTTCGTTTAGGGGCCTATCTATATCCTGGGCACACTGAGAAGAAATTCCAGGTGGAAACTCTGGAGCATCCCAAAGGAAAGAGACAGTGGGTCCATCCTATAGACCTGGGGCCTTGAAGTCCGCCTCGGAGGCAGCTGCAGACATGAGTACATGAAGGTTATAGTCAGCAGTCACTGACATTCCCTTCAAGGGGCTTACACATTGCAGAGCATGCACCTCACTGCCCAGCGCACTCCTGAAGTAGCCACTGATGAAATCTGCCTCCTGCTTCAGTGCTGTCCTCTGTAGCTAAACAAAGTAAGACTAAGACAAAGTTGTATTTATCCTGATACCTCACCTATTCCTTATGAACCTGAGAAATGCTGCACAGCAGAAGAAATCCCCAGGGGGGATCAATTCTTTCAAGGGAAGTGTCTAGGGATTTAGGGCTGGAATTAGATATACCTGGGTATGAACCCTGGCCCTGCTATCCGTTAGTTACCTGACTCTGGGCAAAAGCCTCTCTACCCAGGCTTGGCATATAAGATGGTCTTGGAGTCTGTTGCCTCATCTGTAAAATGCAGCATTAGGATTCTCAGAGAGAGGTTTATAGTAACTAAGTGCTTTTCATTGATATGTGGTTATTTTATGACTATGCAGGAATTAGAGCTGAAGAATACAAGGCGACGGGGTGAAGTGAGGCACCGCGTGCTGCCAAGCGCTTCTATGATGGTTCTGTCATAGAAATCGGCTGTGTACATGGGAGACTGGTTGACTCTTCTCGAGTTTTGCTAGGAGTCAAAGCAGGAGCTACCATGTTGACAGCAACCACAATGGTAGCTTTTCCCCACACTCTCATCAACAGGCAGAGCTCCAATTTGCCTTTTGGAGAGTCCATTTAGGCAAAGATCCCATGCATCAAAGTAAAAAATGAGCGCTGATGCTGAGTCCCTCACAGGCCGAAGCTGTTCTCTTGAGCCCTCCCTGAGCCAGTGGCCTGCTGGGATCCCTCTGTCCAGAAAAGCAGACAAGCAGGCCCAGGCTGAGCTAGAGATGTCAACAAGGAAAGGACAGAATTATCCAGTGACCATCTTACCTTATCTTCATTGGCAACAAGCAGTGTTTCCATGCCTATTTTCAGACGCTGAATTTCTTGGTCTAGAACAATTTAGGCACAGAAAGAATTATCTATATAAATACCAAGAGCTGCTTGTATATGCTGAGATGCCCCACAAGTCCAAACTTGAAGCCTGTCCATGTGAGCATGGCTCCTTTATTTCTTTAAAGAACTTGGGATGGTGATCTGGCACAGAGTTGGTCCCATTCAATATTTTTAGACAACTAAGTGAATGAATCTACTATTGTGTCCTTTCTTTATAGACATTTATGGGCAAAACAAAAATGCCATTTACTCAAAAGTGACACAGAGGAGCCAAAAATCCTTCACAATCAACATCTCCTAAGAACACAGACATTATTGCTGTATATCAGCATGTCCCGAGGCCGCTGAATGATTTTGGAAAAAATTATACAGTTGAACAGATGATAAATGGAAGTGAATTTAAAATAAGAGAAAAAAAATGTTTACAGGTGAATGGAGGCTGTGGGTTAATCATTTTGTGAGAGAATTTTATAGTTGGCTTAATTTAAGATGATACAGTCATCATTTTAAAATGTTTAGATGTACCAATAAATATATTAAAACAAACTCTATGGTTAAGGGAAAACTCTTATTTCATCATAAGCCTATAGAATTTCCTCATGGGCCCAAGGTTTGGCAGTGATCTGTGTTAGAAAACCTGTGGTTTTCTTTCACTTTAGACCCCACTGGGACTCACTTGACTTCTCAAACTTGTCTGAAGAGCAAAGTGAAAGGCCAGTGCTTGAAGAAAAGGGGGTTCCTCACAAGACATTTAGAGTCCAGGAAGTGGAACATACCCCAATTTTCGAAGGAAGGACTTGTAACTGTTCCTAAACCGAGTATTGCCAAGGAAACAGAAATGCTGCGTAAGAAAAATACAGAAGCTGAGGGAACAAAGGTACAGGCATCCTATTTCCTTTTGGATGCTTGCTACATTCAGTAGACATGGAATAGTAAATGTATGGACCTTGTATGAATGGTTATGGGGATCTGCTTATTTTTTAGGCTCCTAGCAGTTGATATCAGATTGGCAGCTCAGTTTGCGAGGGGTGAAGAGTACAGGAGGTAAATTTTAGATGAAGATTGCCACACCTGAACTTATTGGTCAGAACCCAATTGAGCAGCAAATGACCAAACGGCCAGCTCCAGGAGGTACATGATAATGGGACTGGGGCAGACCTGGAAGGCCTGGACTGAGGGGAATCATGCAGTAGAGGGGGTGGCTGCCTGGGCCTGAAGTTATGGTACCAGGAACTCTCTACCCAGGCTTGGCATATAAGACGGTTGAGAATGTCCCAGCCTTCACAGGTTGGCTTTGGCAGGTAGGTGACATACGCACTGTCCTGAGAGGACACTGATGAAAGACTGGGGGAGACAGGAGGATGCTAGTTACTCATTTATTTTTTAAGCCTAAGCTCTTGTTGTAGGGATGCATGGCCTTCCCACCCCAGCGTGGACCCATGCTGTGCTGCACTGAGCCCAAGGTGAGACAAGACAGCGCCACCAATCCACAGGGTTGCATGACCACCAGCAGCCAGCGGGCAAGTGGGAAGTTGGAAGATGTGTGATCAGCCTGCATACATGTTACACAGCCATATATACAATGTTTGTTAATATTTATATTTGAAGATTTATCCTCTATTTGTAACCCACAAGTCTTGAACTCCTTAGGAATCAGTCATCATCCTTTAATTTATTAACAATTATTTCACAGAAGGCTACCGTGGGCTGTATTTGGTACCAGGTGAGCTCTGCAGATCTGTTCTTAAACAAATCTGCTTCAGAGTGGGGATGACTGAAGACCTCCCAAAATATAACACTGCTAACTTACAAGTGGTAGGAAGGAAACAAGGGTACTGAGTCAGAGAATAACAGGACTAAGGGGATCTACTTGAGGTAGGGCAGCAAGGAAAGGTCTTTCCAAAAATGAGCTGTAAGTAGGTCTAAAGGGTGAGAAAGAAATGATCTGCAACTTCAACTTCAGGGCCTTGCGCAAATGCCAGGTTGGATGAATTGTTAATCTTCCTCTTTGGTGATAACACAGAAACAATGCTTTTCAATAAATGAAAGAGTTGGGTATTTCTTATGTTCTCAGTAAAAGTTCCAGAAAGGGACACATAAAGCTTCAATTTACTCTTAATGCCTAAGGAAAGCCCTCAGAGCTGAGTGTTCTGGATAAGGGAGAAGTCCTTGGCATGATTCCACACAATAGTAATGCTGTGTTTTATAGGCTCCCATACGGACATACACATGCATCCATTTACTTGGCCATGCTCACACACACAGATGCATTCACACACACATTACCATACCTACATACATGCATGTGCATACTTAAGAGTGAGCCCAGGGCCCAGGACAACTGCATCTGTCACAGTCAATCCAGTTACCTCTGTCTGTGTGGTCATTGTGGAAAGCTGCGGTCCGAGAGAGCTGGCAGTGCAGACGCTCAATTTCTGCATCTTTCAGGACCACCTGCTCTTGCAGCTGGGCTACCTCTGCCTGAAAAAGCAACAGAGAACCCCTATCAGGTCAGAGGGACAACTGAACCATCATGGACTGCCTGATGTCAGAGCCCAGAGTCCATTATCCACTGGGCCCTAAGAGCTGAGAGGAGTTAGAAGAGCTCATGACCCTCCCTAAAGGATAGAACTTTTGCTGAATGAATTTACTCTTCCTGGCTATTAAACTGTTCCTTCCTCTTCATCCTCCTACCTGATCGGGCTTTCCCTTCCTGCTCTGTGAGGCCCAGGTGCCACTGTGGCCCAAGGAGCTAAGAATGTGTGCAAGGGGAAGATTCTGTTCTTGTTGCGGAGGTGACAGTTCTTGTTTTGCATGGGGTCTTCCTTCTCTCAAGATATTCATGACACAGCACTTAGATACTCTGTTCCCTCTCTTGACACTCTCCCACACTTTGTGCAAAGTCAATGCCTCCACTCAGCCTTAACCCACATGTGTACATTTGCCCACATCTATGCCCATACAATTCAGGTGGGCTTAGCATATATACTAATTTTGCAATAAAACAAAATACATATACACCACATAATATAACACCACATAGTACACATAGACTCATGTAAGAACACACATGGGCAGCTGCCCCGGGTGGTTCCCATGTCTCCACTAAGAAGAGTTAAACTTCACATACTACACTCAGTGTGGCTTACTCATTATAAGATCAAAATTATACCAAACCCACCCCAAGGGCACCTTCACTTTGGAGTCACAAACTCTGTATTCTCCCATGTGCTGGTCTGGATGACCCCAGACGAGCAAGTTAATCTTTCTGAGTCTTAGTTCATCTATAAAATGGAAATTTAGTACCTATTTCATGGGACTACCGTGAGGATTAAATAATGTAATGGTTATGAACAACTTAGTCTAATACTTACTATATGGTAAATGCTCAATAAATGCTACTACTATTGCTTCTCGCATCCTATTCCTTCCCCTATGAATAATCTGTTTAAGTTTCCAAGCATCAACCAAATAAGAAAGACATTAGAACTGATGCTCAAGCAATGGAACACACAGCAAATGCTTGGTTACCCTTCCTCATGCGGCAGCCTCTAATCAGTCCCAACTCTGGTCCTGAGGGTGTAGATGTCCCCCCCACAGAAGCCCAAGTTAATCTTTGAACAACCATAAGTACCCAAAGAAACACTGGTCCTCTTGGTCCCCCTCTGCCTGAAGGCCTTGCTTTTGGACTCAGCACACTGACCCAGCATCCACCCTGCATCAAGCCCATGCCCACTGCTTTCTTCCATCAAATCTCACTAAGTCCTCCCAGAGAACGATGGGAAGAAGAAATTTCTCTGCAAGTTCCTGGGAAGAAACTGAAGTAGTACAGGCTTCAGTGTTGAAGTCAGAGATCTACTTGGTGACCAGGCCAGGAATGAAACCCCAGCCTGACTTCTCCAACCAACCCCAGGCTGTCGCATCTGAGTTAACAGGACAAACAAGGGCCACTCTTATGAGGTGTGGGTTCCCCGCTCCCCTCCTTGAGGGTTTCTGAACAAACTTTTCCTAACACTCCTGATAGGTCAGAGATAGCTGTGCAAAGGAAAGAGATGTGATAAGGGGTAGGGCTTCCTTACTGCAAAGTTCACCATCAAACACTGTCCTTCTGCTCGTTCCTTACCTATAAAGGCAGAGAGTCACATCTGACTATGCCAAAGTGCTTCCTGAGACAGTGGTGGAGCAGCTTGCCCCTGCTCACTCAGGTAGCCATGAGTTTATGGTTAATGGTGAGCATCCCCTGAAAAGCTGCGCTTTGCAGCACTCAATCCTAATCCCTCTCATGTCGACAAGGGCCAGACTACTCTAGAAAAATAATCTTTTAGGCTTCATTGCATATTTTTTTGCTCATTTTTCTCTCTTTCTTTGCAGACAAGGTGAGTGCTGGCCTGTGTGAAGAACCTGATACTTCTCTGCTGGCCCACAGCTGAACTTCAATGATGTGGGCCTAAGAGGCAGAGCCTAGCACGTGGCACTCTGAGGGGTCTTCTACCTGAGGCCTACCCTTGGACATGGTCATCTATGTATGTACTATGGACTCCAAAGACCAACTCAGCCCAACCTCCCCGGTGCCAGTGTTCACAAACTACAGGCACTCTGCTATCCTCAGAGTGGTACTTGTCACAAGGCAGGGAGGCCAAGAGCCCAGCAGCCCTCTCCATGACCATTAGAGTCATGTATGCTCCATGGAAGCTAATGCTGCACTGCAAGAGGTCGAAGATAGGTAGGCAAGCAGGCAGACCGACAGGCGGGCAAGACAGTCACAGGGGCTCCGGGTCCTGAAAGTATCTCAGTAAACCCAGAGACCATACTTTATGGCTGTTGCACTCAAAGAGGAAGCCCTTTTAGGGACTAAGAAGGCTCAAGCAGAAAACTGGAGAACTTCCATTCCACAAAAGGGCAGAATTTCCCTGTGAGGAATCAGCCTGACGCCAAAGACCCAGATCTGAACCTCCCTTGGGCACTCTGAGTCCCTCTTTCCTTACCAGAAAAATAAAAAACTAAAATACACCCCACTGGGTTATTTTATGAATTAAATGAGAAAATTGTACAAAGGGCTCAATACTTCCGGCAAGCAGGAGGTACTCCACACCTGGTAATTATTAAATAATCCTTAGCATCTACATGTCAAGGCAAAAAGCTTGGGTAATTTAAAAAGATTGCTTGGTTTTATAACCGAGGGTGGCGTACACAACTTCAAAGGTTTCACCACACAGCAGCACTCGCTGGAGTGGAACAGCAAGGGGGAAGGTTCTGAGCTACTGGACAAAAAAAAAATGTTCCCAGCACAGATAACTGCAGCACAGCACATACAAGGCTGCCCCCAGGTAACAGCTGTCCAAGGCACAGACAACTGCTTTGCTCAGGTTCGCCCTGACTGGGAGAGTTACTGCATCTGTCTGTGCCTCGGTTTCATCGTTGGTAGAATAGTGAAGCTAACTATTTTATACTTATACATTACACAGACATGCATATTGTGTTCAGCATTTTCTTTTAAAAATTTTAAATGAAAAAGCATGATATCCAATTGTATATAAATGATTAGCACCAGAAATTGAGAGCGAGAGAGAAAAAAAGAAAAGAAAAGAAAAGAACAGAGAAAAGAGAAGAACAGAACTTAGAAGAAAATATAAACCATGGTGGCTCCTGGGTGGTTTGAGTGCTCTTGATTCCTTGAATTTTTTATGGTTTGGAAACTTTCTGTAATGAGGTTGTTTTCATACTCATTAACAATTAACTTGTAGAAAAAAGTTACAAACTAGAATTTAAGAACATCCTAGCAAGAAATATGACAAAAAATCAATAAGAAGCAAAAATTAATACTGCCGGCACGGACCATCTGGTAACACTAAAGGCGTCGCTGCAGGAACCTCAGGGAAAGGCAGCCTGCCCAGGTTTCTTCCACTGAGAGTGGCTCCTGGCTTGTTTACAACTCTCCTCTCTCTCCCCTCACCAAAATTATATTTATGTGAAACATAATCTTTGCACATCTTTATAGAGAACAGCGTAAGTATGGTAATTCAGTACATGTATACAATGTATAATGATCAAATCAGGGTAATAAGCACCCTCATCTTCTCAAACACTAATCATTTCTATGTGCTAGGAGCTTTTATGCTCTGCTAGTTATTTTGAAATAGATTGTTGTAGACAACAGATTCCTTTAAAAACTAAAAGTAGCCTAACCGTATTTTCATATGAAATTTCCCAATGTTTAAATGACAGCCTAATTTGACATTTTAAATACAATATGCAGGGCAAAAAATAAATTCATGGACTGAATTCATTCCACTAGTTTTATTATCTGCATTTGAATTAGGGGGAAATAAAGAGGGAAGGAAGAAATTTATTTCACAGAAGATTTTATGCTTGGTGTCTTTTACACAGCAAACTCCTGAGTTTAACAGAAATATGGTTTGATTGAAAAAATAATTCAAACTGTATATCATTTTAGGAATGCATTCATATCAAACTATAAAGTATCAGCCAGTATCGTGCTGCTATTCATCTGCTGTAGGACTCATCACTCATGGGCCGTCACTACCTTGCTCACTGGTTCCCTCACTTTCTCACTCTTTCACTGCCCTTTCTAGATCAGGTACATGCTGTCTGATGCACAGAGAGGAAGGAGACTTAGTTACCATCTTCCTATAGCTCATTCTCCCAGGCTCTGCATAAGGAGCCTTCCTAGATCCAATCTGTCTGTTGCACAGTCTGGACACAGCTATGTGTTTAAGGGATGTTTAAGCAACTTGCTTGTATTTGTACAGTTAGTGGGTGGTGGGGCTGTAATTTAACATGGTGGTGTTGACTTGCATTTTCAAACTCAGGTTGCTGGAAATCAAGTTTGAATCCATTCACAGAACCTCCGTGCACCCTCCCGTGCATATCACAACCACCTTTACCTTAGTGGCTTTCAGCTTCCACTCATACTGATTCCGTTCATTTTCCAACTCTTCCACTTTGATTTTGAGGTGCTTGAGTTCTTGCAGTAACTCCTAGAAGGAAGAGGGAGAAAGGCGAAGTGGTGGTGATTAAAGGAATTGCCCTGGATTTCCACACCTGGTTAAACTCATGCAGAAACGCCAAGGGCAGCAGCAACCGCAGCAGGCTCCATATGGCAGCTTTGATCTTTAAATGTGGTCTGTGCTTCATGAAAAGCGGTGTGGACATTTAAAAACAACAGAAGTTCCAGGCACATGAGAGAGAAAATATCCTTTCCTTTTGACAACCTGTTCTGCCTGCCCCTTTCTCTGACATCTGCGTCCTCTGTGGGGTACACCTGTAACATGCAGGGACCAGACACCTATAGCTTGGGAAGAGGAAGAACAGAGGTGCTGAAAGAGGCATTCTTCCCTTGAGATGCAGACAATCCAGTGGGAAGCAGGCTAGCTAGGAGCATCACTCCATGCTGAAGAGGGGGCTGGTTATCTTGAAAGGCTTCACACAAGATGGGACAGCCAGCAGGACAGACACAAAATGCTCAGAGGAATAAATGCTAGATGTCAGCATGAGCATCCCAGTTCAGAGGATTGGGTTAAAGAAAGAGGGCAACAGAAGCATGCAGTGAGGGTAAAGCTAAGGGGCAGAAAGGGAGATGGCCTGTTGGATGGGAGCAAAAGAGGGTGTTGGCACATAGTGGGAGATAAAGCTGGAAAGTGAAGAGGGCCTCTGCGATAAAGGATTTAGATGAGAGTATAAGAAGTTCTGAGTCTGCTGTTTGAATAGTAGGGACGCAGTGAAGGTTGCTGAGTGGGGAAGGATGTTTAAACAACTCTCTTGTATTTATATAGCTAGTAAGTGGCAGAGCTGGAATTCTAGCCCGTATCTTCTGACTCTAGGCCCTCTGCTTTTAAACGACCCACTAAGAAAATACCACTAAGCCCTGACAACTGGAATAAAAATGTCCTTCCAGGGAACTTTGGTCCTGCTGCCTAACTCCTATCAGAAGAATTGGCACGAAGGTCATTATTCCCATAGGCTTTCTGAATTGCAGACTCATGAGACAGACCTCTTACTTAACATGTCCATGTGGATGCTACACAGGCATCTGAGAACTGCTATGTCCCACACGAACTCTTCATCTCCACCTCCCGCCCCGGCCATCTCTGCCTCACTGAACGGAACATACACCCATCCAATGTTTTGTCCCAGAAACCCAGGAGCCATTCTTGACATTTCTTTTTCCTCCTTTCCTTGCATACATAATTACTTTCCAAGCCTTATCAATTCCACCTCCAAGAAAATAGCTGGAATGTTTCATTTCTCCCCCACTCTGGCACCGTGACTGGTCTCGCAATGGGAGCTGGTAGCCTGACAGCCACTGAACAGTGCCTCTGTTGCTGGCCCCTCCTGAATACACTGACGCCGACAACATCAGGCAAAGAACAGGATTAAAACACATGGTGTTCCCTTACTCTTCAAAGCTCGTAAACTTTAACATACGACTGGATCACTCTGACTTATCGCAGTTCCCTGCCTGCCTCCTGCATTACTCTTTTTCTGCAGTGAAGCTCTAGTCACGTGGGATAGTTTTTAGTTTCTACTCAGTCTTCCCAAATATTATTCCCCCTTTGGAAAGTGTCTGTCACGTTAACTCCTGCTCATCATTTAGGCCTCCCTGAGCACAGGTACCCTGACCTCCACACTATAGCAGGTCCCTCTGCTGCACTCTCTTGTTGCACCCTGTGTCTCCTTCATAATCTGCAAATATTTTTTTTGCATAATTGCTAATGGCTTGTTTACTTTGTATACTGCAATCCCCTTGAGGTACCTGCTAGCTTCTGATCAGTCTGTGGTTGCTGGCACATAGTAGGTATGCATTATTTGTTACTACACTTGATCTTAGCCAAAAGGCCGAGAAGCGATAGTAGGTATATATTATTTGTTGATGAATGAACACCTGAAATTCAAGTCATTATTGAACTGGCCTGCAATTCTTTACATTCTGAGCCAATCCATCTTACAGTGACATTGCTTACACTGGAATTTTGCAAGGTAATTTATTAAGATCACCTTTTACCTGAGGTGTGCATTTGTTGATGCCTGTTGAAAAAATAAATCTTCAAAGCTGAGGTCACTGTCTCTATGACCTGCATCATTGCACTTCAAGGCCTTGGTCATTTATTTTTACGTGTAGCAGATTGAGGATCACTTTCTAGGAACACGGTTGGCCCTGCCTGAAAGGCTATAGCACACAGCAGTTGGGGGTTCTGTTCTGCTGCGTCTCAGCCAGGCTACGAAGTTTGTCTCGAGACAGCAACAGGCCCAGAATCAGGAAAGCGTAGAGTACTGCAGCCCATGAAGTTGCGGGACACGATGGGGACACACACTGTGCTCTCCAGGATCTCGTGACTGCCTTGGCATGTGGCCCAGAGGTCGTGAAATCATCCTAATGTGGTTATGTGCAGGATTTATGTGGGAGAAATTCTGGTGATGACTTCATTGTTGACAGCAAATGGAAACTTGTGCTCTATTGTTTCACTGGGGTAAACTTCTTTAAACATAAATTTGAAAAGATTATTTTTTCATGATGCTTTTTTTCTTAAAAAGAAAATCACAGTGAAGCTTCATCTAATCCCTCAGCCCAGAAGGAGGAATAAGTATCTGGATCATATGCCTAGGAAGCAAATCCTGAGCCTTCCTATGCACAGAAGCCCCACTGCTGGAGTGCCTGACACACCTAAGGGAAAAGAGTGCCACCACTGTCAGCAGGTTGGGCTCACCTGCTTAGATCCTGCTTACTGAGGGTCTGAGAACTCAGCCCACACCCCAAGAGGATCCAGCGAATCCGCGCTCGACCCCGAGGTTATACCAAATCCATGCTAAGCCACCACACTCTGTCCCAGTTAGGAGAAATCCCAGCCCTCCACCAGTGAGCTTCCCCACACATGCATGCTCTGATATACTTAAGTGTGGTTCCTACAGGTGACCCCTCCCAAGGGGCACAGTCCTGGCTGCAGAGCTGGGGCTCGGCTGCACTGTCACTGGCCGCCAGCTGATCAGGGTGGTCCCTACTGAGCACCAGGCGCTCTTGAATCTGCCTGTGGATGTCCAGCTGCAGCCTACACATCTGTTCCTGCAGCTCACTGATCACATTCAGAACGGACTGTGGGAAGGAAGAGAAAGGAGAGAAAAGCATTCAAGGCCAGTCCGTCGGCAGGTGCAGAACTCCCTGGGAAGGAGAAAAGGAAAGGAGGAAGGAAGAAAGGAAGTTGGATGGGATAAACAACAGGAGAGGATAGCACATTGTCCATGGCCGGCTACTCTCTGCAAAGGAACCAAAAGACACAATATTTTTCCCAAGGCCTATCCCATGCATGGGCTTCTCTTAGAGTTTGTACAAACCCTTGACAACTCTTTTGTGGCGTACTAAATGGCCATCCCTGCATGTCAACACTGGAGGTTCAGTGTCTAGAACATCTCTTCACACAGAAGAGACAACAGAGACAGGTATTACAGAGTCACACAGACAGACAGAGCACCTTTTCACAACATGTCCATGCTACCCATGCCAACTCGCCCATGCATATACCCAAACACATCAACACCCATGCACAGGTGGCCTGTATGGCACACACCACACTCATATACGACCCTAACCTTATCCAGGTGTCCATAGGCCTGTTTCAGCATTCTACCTGTATTTCCCCATCTTGTTCTTAAGACTACCCCAAGCAATGTTTTTGCAGCACCTCACTGAAGTACTCTCCCTGTCTACTGTGGTAAGACACACTGTAGCCAAATAATGAAGCAGCTGAGGGATGAACTCCTAGTGGACATGGACAGGACCTTATCCTCCAACTTCCTGCAAACCAGCAGGTTCATCTCAAGTGCAACAGACCGGGTTTTAGAGAACCCAGCTAACATTTGGTTTTGCCATTTTCAAAATCAAGAAGCAGGAGGTTTGTTCCTAGTTATCTAGAAACTCATTTGATTTTTCTCATTTCTTATAATTCTTGCAGTTTTTGGACTGCTGTCCTAAGTTGTTTCACCTGGTGGACACACTGGAATAATCAAGTGCATTCTTTCTTTGATCTTATAAAGAACACACTTTTTAAAGAAAGAAAGGCTTTCTATTGTACTCAGCATTATGCTTTGTTTGGGGTTTTCCTTTTCCAATACTGGTGATGCAGGTGCACTTTTACTTGTTCTTAGTAAATGTCCTTTCTCTCTTTTGTACAAGTCCCTTTGGAACCTAGTTTCTCTCAAGGTACTAAGAAGCCCTTCCTCTCTATTGGCATTATTTATGAGATGACATGGTCAGGGCTACATTATTTCTCAGCAGCTCAGTACTATTGAGCTGTCTTCTCTTCTAGGCCTCTCCAGCCTCTTTATATCTAAACTTTCAAAGTGCACCTCTGCCTACGACTAGTTTTCCTGTCCCTCGATTTCATGAACTCCAAAGAGGAATGGCCACTTACTCTCAAAACACCCACTGCTTCTATTTCATAAATTAGTTTCCTCCCTTTGCTTCAAAGTGGAGCTATAATGGTGCTTTTCCCAGTTTTGTCTTCTACTCTCTAAGTAGACTAAAAGTAAGTAGAAAAAATAAACAAGCAAACTTCCAAATACTTTAGTGTTTAGCTGGAGATTTTCAGAGGAGTTACCCAAATAGTTGCTGTTGCACTCCCTCCATTACTGTCTCTTCTCTCTCTTAATCAGTGTATCAGTGATGCGTACATTCTCCTTCCCCAGCTTATGTGACCCACTGGTACACTCCAACACTCCTGGGTCCCCTCCCTTAGTTCTCCCTAATCACATGTTCTGTTTTCGGGTATGTATCTATCCATTCAACTTCTTAATTTTTTTTTAATTGCCAGGGCTGGCCCATCCCCTCTCTTACCAGGCCCGTTCTTCTCTCACGGGCTGACATTGTTCCATTCTTGGATTACACATCATGAAAACCAGATGACATTTTTGAAGCTGTAATTTGTGAGGCTGCTCTGTGTTGTAATCTCTGCTAACTTTGTGTATTAATCCTGCTTTGCCAGCCATC